GAGCACCGCACAGAGGACCCAACTCGAGGTCGGATCTGATTTGGAAAATTGAAAAGCTCTCATCCTCGTTAATACAAAGCGTTTCAGTCAAAGGGACGTATTCAAAGTTGTTCCTTAAACAGCTCCTTCTTTTAGGAGATCCCATATGGTATACATTATGACTAGGGAAAGTTCAAGGGAGCCCTCAAATTAACATCATAGAGTGGAAATTTGCCTATCGCGAGGAAAATTCAGTGGTATAACTTTGGAAGATCCTGGCAAGGGATTACAATCGTTTACAGAAGAAAGAATAAACAAAACAGAAGAAAAAAATACAGAAGGAAATTGCCTATCATTTCGACGAATTTTAAACTATATGAAACTCGCAGTATAGTTTATTTTGTATTTTTGTAGTGATCAATCATTAAACCCTGCTCAATACAAGGACCGATTTACAAAGCTATCCGCTCAATTTTTTTCCGAGGCTAAAATCAACTATTTTTAAATGCTATGTTCAAGAATTCCAGCTCCCTTAATCTCAATTGAAACCGAGTGGGGTCACAATGAAAGGAGCCGTTTATAAGAAACAGCTAGGTATACGACCCTAAACGTGGTTTTCTCATAAAATTTCTGATAAAAAGCTTTCAATTTACCAGAAACGTAAAAATGTTCAATTTTAGCCACAAATGTAATATCCATTTTCTTCCAAATGCTCATTTCACTGTGCGGCGTGAAGCCCGCAGGCCGCTCTCAGCTGGTGCCGGCACGATGCAGACATGAATGAGCGCACGTCGCTATCATCATCTCGAGTGCATCAAAGCTCTTGGCCCTCCCCCTCCCGCCCAAGCGGCGCCGCGACGCCATCCCACCGTGTCAACTGCTTTTCACACCTGTAAAGAACGAATATTGAGAGAGTATTTTCATGCTTTTACCGCTCTGGTTCATTATTTCCAAGCTATTCTTAGGGCTGATAGAGCCTGATGTAAACAAATTTGGACTAAGATTTCGTATTTTTTAGGTGGAAGTGGACCTAGCTCGACGCAAAGGAGCCAAATCACTTTAAAATTAAACACTGGAAAAAAAACACATTGGATTTAGAGTCTAGACTCTTGAAATCATTGACAAGAAAAAATACTCTTGATTCAATCGGATTTTTGCTTGAATCAAAACGAAATCCGCTTAAATTAAGAGGCTTGGTTCTTGATTTAAGGTAGATTCTGATTGAACCAAGAGTACTTTTTCTTGTCGATGTTTTTAAGAGTTTGGACTCTAGATCCAATGTGTTTTTTTTTCCAGTGAATGATGGAAAAATGGGGAAACGCATGAAGCCTGAGACGCGTAGCGCTTTGGCGCTTCGGGGAGTCGGGCCGCGAAGTGGTCGGGGGGCGTACCCTCTAGATATCATTAACATTATAGGATATCTTCTAAAAGCCACAAAATCAAGTCAGAGCTCAGATTGGCTATCTTTCAACACTCAACTAAGCAAGTTCCAATAATATTGCCTGGAGACTTAAACGCACGGTTAGAAAAAAAAAAAAGACGAAATGTGAACCGTCTTCACACGTCGCGATGTGTCTTGGAGAAATGATCTGTTAACCAATACCGAGACACCTGATGTGAGTTGAATACAGTCGATAGCAGCAAAATCAATGATTGAAAGAGGTTATTATCATGCAGTAACATTGTATCATTTTACTGACGTTAACTAATATAGTTAACTTGCCTCAGTAACACTCAGGACTAAATTTTATCGAGCTCCACTGATACCGGACATGTTTTGGGGATAGCTGATGGTTAATTATTTTCAAAACGTTAACATTGCAGCCGTATACGCCTTTTTTAGACCTCTTCTATACTGCAAACTCGGATCATCGATAAGTTCTCAGCAAATGTTTTTAAACATGTTTATTTTTTCACGAACTTTCTGTTTACACGTAAAAACGGCGTCATGCCGTCACACTTCTTCTCCGTCACTTGATTTTTGTTTGCTTTAATTTCCACTTTTTAAGAAATTTGTATGCTTCCAGGCTTTGAGTTTCCTGGAAGAAAATGTTCGAAAATCTGTTTTTCTCCCTTCAGAGCATTTCCTATACGGTTGAGGAAAGCTTAGTTAGAGGAACGATCGATGGAAATACTCACCGTTGAAAGAAAGACTCCAGATTGTTTGCTCTCTTGTTACGATTAAAGTCATCAAGTATATGTTAAAAGATGGTTGCCAAATTTCATAGAAACTTAACAAAAACATTCCGAAGCGAGTGAAATAAACCATTAAATATGTTCTCCTTGAGTTTCGAGAGTGTACCTGTCTCAGAGATGGTTGCAAACTTTCCAATCGATCCACATCTTGGAATTCGGCACCTTTAGCTCAAATATTCTCTTCTCGGTACTCATGTGTTCAGTTTCTAATACGTTTCAAATCCTAATTTTTCAGATGTCTTTTCTCTCCTTACTGTCTAGTTAATTTTTCGAAGTCAAAATACCGCGAGGTAAAAAAAGACCAATTACTTAGGTCACAATGTGACTTCCATATTTCCATACATTTCACATACGTGAGTTACCCGTGGCACATTGAACGCAAAACATCGGGAAAAATCGAAATCGCGTAAGTCTTAATGAAATAGCTGTCATGATTTGTCTTAATGAAATAGCTGTCATGATTTTTAAATACATTTACCGCAATAATCAAATGCTTGGTTTGGAAATTAATGACAACTCGGGGATGGATCCGAGTAAAAAAGAATAGTCCGTTGGATTACGTTAGAACTACCAAGAAAGTTGGACCAAGCGTCATGCAGAAAATAAAAGTAAATTAAATAAACCGAAAAAAGAGGCCCCTCTGGGAAAAATCAAAGAAGGCTTGAGTAAGGGAAAGGAAAAATGGAATACATTTTAGAAATAGTTGACTTTGAGATTTGGTTCAAAGTAACACTCAGTTCAGAACAGAGTATGCAATCAAGAGGAAGCAAATTTTAAGTAATTTCCTCTGTAATTTGAATATGATGTAGAGAAACAAAACAACTTGATTTTGCCGTCTATTACCGCTTCATAAACATAGCAAAATTCAGCCAAAAGATTATTAGAATGTGATGTGCATCGATATGAGTATACAGTAAATTCAACGAAATAAAGAGAATATTGTGAGGAGAGACCACTTAGTCCTACAAAAACGCGTTCAAAATAGATTGTCGCAAGATACAATAAGCAGAAAAATATTATTAATTTGATCCAGATATTTGCACCAAAATCACAAGATCAAAAAATTAGAACATACCTATATTCGAAAATACGAAAAGCTTGCTTTGAAACGTAGTAAATCTACAGAAATCAATGTATTAATTAATGAAGGGATAACGGAGATTAAAATCACTGCAAAACTCAGTACCACCGAGAACGAGGCCAAAACAGTCATAGGGTATCAAAACGTTGGAGCTGGGGATAATTAATTATAAGTATTCGGGATTAGTAAGAAAGAGGATAAGTATCTGTATAAGCGTCCTCCAAATTTTACATATTCTGTATTTTTCGGGAAGCGTTGGCATAAAAAAGTCTGCAAATTGTTCAGTTGCAATTTCTTCTTTAAAATTTAACGTTCCACTCAAACGGTCAAGGACAACTTTGACTCAGTTCTTATCTCACACGACATTGAACTATGCAAAATTGTGATAATGACTGATGTAACTTACCCCCTAATCAATGCATGGTTGCTAAAACAATACGCCCCGGGGTGATGACATGGGCTTGCACAAATTTTAATAAAAATGAAAGGCTTCTACACAAATCAATCGAAACTTAATTAAATTAAGAAATTACCTAACTATGACAATTGATGCAATGTTACTCATCAGTTACCCCCTTCCTCCGGCACACACCCCCTCACCTATACCATCACTCTAACTCAATTCAAAATTGCAAGCATACTCACGAATCCTATTTCAAAATTGATTTCTGCACTCATCATGCACCCATCTACATTACAACGTCAAAAGTAATTCTATCACATATGTTCCATGAACTACTTTAGACGCAACGAGAATGTTCTATGTTCCAGACAAGCCACTAATTTTCAAGATAATCCTAGTGTCCGATTGGAAACTTACAGATAAGGCACTATTCAACGGAAATATTTAATTACAAGCTCCAGGCGCTCCACACAATATTGATAATTCACAACACCAATAAATATCGACGAATTTCACTCATCGTATATATTCTAGGCTTAAAATTGTTAGTTAGTTAGTTATTATAATTTTAAGACATTCAGCGACTCAGGCTATTAACGTCTATTTTCGAGAAAGGCGGAATATATTTTTATAAAGTAAATGGTGAAAATATTCACGACAAGACTCGCATGGTTTTATACTCACAATAAAGCATGCATTGCTTTTCGATTCATGAGAGAATTTTCGAGTTAGCTGAAACCCGCGTACCTAACGGCAGCCGTCCACAAAATTAAAGCTAGAAAAATGTCAACCTCAAAAAGAAGTTCGTCACCGTAGAAAAGCCGGTGCATCCAAACAGGTTCAAGCACACAATATTCAGCCAAAAAGCAATCAAAGACGAAATACCACAAACCAGCCCCGTCAATAGTGTGGAAAATCAGGAGGAGGCGTTTGCGAGAGGGAAAATCAGATTGGGACACGAGCACACACTTGCACAAAAATAATAGCCGAAGTTCGCGCACAATCACAGAAATCAGCTGAAACAACATGCGGCGGCGAGACAACACAAAATACTCATCAAAACAATGTAAAAAACAACTAAAGCAGCCTTGCGAGGGGCTCGAAATTGAAAGGGCGCAAACCGGTGGGTCGAGGGTGAACTACACACACGTGCACAAAAACAACACCTTAAATTCGCGCACATACAGGAATCAGCTGAAACATCAAGCGGCTTGGGGACAGCGCAAATCCGGACATACAAAGGGGTAGTTGCGTTACGAGAGGGTTTTGTCTCGGGGGCGCTCGCGTGCAAGGGGGGGGGGCGGCGGCGCCCTCGTCGCGTAGATTAAAGGACGTACTCACCCAAAACAGCAGAGCTCGGGGCTTCATGAGGAGTGCCTGAAAGAACTCATCACACTAAACACGAGCTGCGCGGAGACGAACTAGGTCGAAGCCCGACTCGGGGAGGTACCGTTAGAGCCGCAGCCGAGCCGCCGCAGCCGCGCTGACACACATCCTCACTTTCACCCGCCGAGGCTCCCACGGCGGGCGGCGGGCGAGAGGGGCGCCGCGACGCGCAGACGTATCTCCCTTTCAAAACGCATTTCCCTTTTCGCCGCGGACGCCCGGCCCGGCCCGGCCCGGCGCATGCGCGGGCGGCTTCGGTCCCATTTGTCGGGCGGAGTTCAATCGTCGACATCGGCAGAAGTCGAATTCGAGAAAAGGGCAGTCGTCGACTCGAAGCGAACGGGTCGAATGGTTCCGCGAACTGCCGCGAATGTCATGAACATTCGCCGGGGCGAGTTTGTTATTGTTTCTCATTAAACTAACCCCTTTTGAGGACATTAGTAATAGTGATAGTACATCTACCTATTTAATAGTCAAGAATGAATGTCTAATATTTTTCACTGAATACATTTTCGCATGTCGTCGGATAAATTATTTTTTTGGCAGTGTGTCTGTTCAGTAGTAATTTCTTGCCTAGCCACTGCTGTTCATTGTCGGAACGGTGGGAAGTTAATCGAAGCTGTTCAATCCGGAAGTGTTTTTGAGTCAGTTTAAATTAATTAATTAATTTCTTTTTCAGTCTGAGCCCTAATTGAGTGGACATTTTACGACTTTCGTGTAGGTAGGTGGAAAAATCCACTTTTTGAGGAAAAAGTAGTCTTTCAGCAGTTCATAGATTATCTCCACTCGCTACCACGCCAAAGGAGCATATCATTGCGTCTGATCATTGAAGGTTTCTTGAGAACCAAGTTGATGAAAAATGCAGATGAAACTGTAGCTTTTCTTGTTCTTGAAAAACTTTAATGGCAGATTTTCTTATACAGCGAGGGAAACGTCTCTGCTCCATGGTCATAGTCGCCATGACTGAAGATTTCTTCGATGGTAAAGTTCCTTATCACCTTTAATACGCTTTAATATCACAGGTCTTTACATCTACCTCATTGTAAGTTGCTTTCAAGCCTCTACTTTGACAACTTTATTCCTTGATGTGGAAGCCAACGTTTTGTTACCCACAGGAGTTACTTGGAAATAAATACATTCATGTAGGATTCCTAGAATTTACTACCGACACAGTTTCCTTTGCTTCAATCTGCTTTTGCGCAGTTCCTCATACTGTAACGTGACAAGACTGAGTCATAGAAGGGTGCCTCGGCTCCCTACTAAAGAGAGACAGGGTGCTGAAAACACGAACACAAAAAGATAAGAGGATGAAACACTAAGTATACTTGACTGCAAAAGTGAAAGAGCCGGCTGAGGCCCAGCCTCTAAGAAGTACAACTGGAACTTCTCACACTAGTCCTAATGGGAACATTTTAATTCAAACATGGAAAAAGTTATGACATAGGTACCTATCGAGCATTCTTTTTGCACATCGCGGTAGGACATGATACTTTCAAAGACGAGAAAAATCAAGTTTATTTTCCATGAAATTAAAAAAAAAATTAGGCATTTTCACCGCGACTTGTTTCTGAAAACACAGAAATGAGACATTGATTTTTACACGCAACTTCATAAGAGTTTTTCACTTTCATTGAAGAAATTTGAAGTTCATTTTATAAATCCTTCCATTTTAAGGGGATGCATAATGAAGGTGACATCACTTAACCACAATCCTATCTGCAGTTGCATCATTTCAGATGTTCTTAAATTTTTTACTATTTTGAAGCATAACGGATCAGTACATGAAGAAAAATTGCATGTAATGCACCGATTCTGAGATGCTATCAATCCATATTCCTTGCACAATGGAAATTTTTCTAGGTTCACCATTGATGTGTATGTCTAATCACATTAAAAGATAAAAATAAATAAAAAAAGCCACTTAGCGCCCCAGCTGGGTCTTATTAGAAAAGATATTAAAAAAACTTAAATTCCCTTCAAGTATCAGAATGGAAAAATCCTGAAGACCTTTCTCTTCAAATCATGGTGCAAAATTAAGAGGAGAACATTTCTCCAAAGTTCATAATTAAGTCTATTATTGGACGTAGGACATAGCCTTTCTCTGATGAAGAAAAGGAAGACATTAATGGTGACGCTAGGCTTTTATTGCTCATCAGTCGAGGTCAAATTATAAATCGAGACCTGTTTACTTAGGTATCTACTTTAAGGGTCAGAAACAAAGCATAAATTTAGTTTAATTTACAACCATTGATGGAATTTCCTGATCCATTATGGCTCTCGTTCTGCTAAGAGAGCTACTTTAACTTAGAGGTCTTTAGTGTCGTCCACGGCAAAGACAAGCAGCCTATACATAATGCTCCATTTGCAACAAACGATAAAATGAAAAGTAAAATAAAATGCACAATGGTGAACTAGGTTCGATTGGTTCGGTGCGTTCGGGCATCGACGTATGACCGTTCGCGAATCGACCTCTGACCGTTCGCCACGAATCGACCATTGCCGATGTCGACCTTTGCTACTCGTTCCATTTGTCCCGATGACGTCCGCGAGGCCGGACCCCCTCCCGCACCCCCGCACCCCCGCCGAAATTACGGGGGGCTTTTACATCACCTCTTCGCACCTCGCCGTCACGAGAATGCAGCGGCGGGTCTCAAAATTCTCGGTCCGGTGTCAGAGTGCCCTCTTAGCCTTGTCTCCACGGGCCGATTCACGGGATTTGTCCCAGGGAAAAATCCCACTTACGAAGTTGGGAAAAATATTGAGTTGATCAATATTTTTCCCAGTACCAAGTATGGTCCTTTACCCCTAGGACTCACAGGGAGAGGAAGAAGAAGTGAAAACGAACTGTGCGATATTTTATTCATTACTCCATTGTTAATGTTTTTTTAGTTAAAATAATGTGTCTAATTGTCAATTGAGTGCAATTATTATTTTAATCCCCGTTAAATAATCGACTTTAACTAATTTATCTTCCCGCGCAAACTAGTCGCAGGACCGTATGAGCCCCGTCCCGTGGAGACGGTAACTGGGAAAAATCCCAGAAGTTTCCTTCCTGCGATTCGAACTTGGGACAAATCCTAAGAAAACGTCCCGTGGAGACAAGGCCTTACGGGGAGTATGGATTCGGGTGTCTATGAGGTCTCGTCTCTTTCATGAAATTCGTCGCAAGGGAAAGGTAGAGTACCTACATTGAGAGAGTATGGCCACTGGGCCCCATGGAGAGGCTTAGGACCCAAAAATGGCGGTGCTTTGTTTTGGTTTTTTAGGATGGGAGGGGGGTCATTGCCAACTTTTGACGGTTATCATCAACCGCACTTGCTGCCAACCTTACTGCATCTAAGATAATTTTTCGCAAAAATTGCACACGATTAGCCTTAAAAATATGTAAAGATGTCGCAATAGTGCATTTGAGTGAATTTCTCGTTACGATAAGCAAAGAAAACTGCATTTTGAGTCATTTTCCATTACATTAATTTATGGCGTCTGCCTTTTTTGGGTCCTAAGGGCTCCATTCAGCCTAAGATGGCTGAGCCAATCAGAGGTGATAACCCCAGTGGCCATACTCTCTCAATATAGGTACTCTAGGGAAAGGCTAACCTCGTCACCTTCCGGCCGAAGTATCACGAGCGCCGCGCGACGTTTAAAAACTTCCGCCGCCATTTCATTTTTTTTTTTACAGAGAAGTTGTTGGTTCAGACAGTGGAAAAAACAAGGTGGAAAAACGGGAAACAAGGCTAAAAATACACAATTAAAATAAAACCCGAGACGTTTCGACTCAAGACTGAGTCATTTTCAGTCGGAAACATTACAAATTTTTTTAAAAAAAAAAAAACGATAAAAAACGAGAGCCCTACATGGTGGTGGCCGGGATCTGAGAAAAATAAAAAATTGATAACAAACAAGGCACATCGATGCTGCTGATTGAATCTGTTTGAAGATTTCAAAGCATTTTATCGACAGCGCAAAGAAAATTCAGTGAAATTTTTGAATAACTTCATCGAAAAATTTCTCTGTAAAAATATTAAATGGCGGCGGAAACTTTTAAACGTCGCGTGGCGCTTGTGATGCTTCGGCCGGAAGATGACAATATGAACGCAGAAATCGCCCTCTGAATGACTCAGTAATCGATGTCGTCAACAGGATGCATGGTGCGTGCTATGGTTTTTTGCCACCTTCGATTCATGCAGTAGCGTGCACCACGGGCAATCAGCGCGGACGTGTTCATCGCGGACCAATCAAAATCAGTGAAACACAGTCAAATTGATAGAATCCATAGTAAGCATTACCATGGCAACAGAATGTTGGCCATGATGTTTCAAATGGTTTAACTTCTTTAAAGTGGACTCAGAAATATGGCGTCTTGCACAATGAAAAATTGCCCGTGATTGATGTCACTTTGTGACTATTTTTTGCGTCAAATCAACCTAAGGGACTTGGTTGCTTAACGCACTTTTGTGTTAAATCGACCTAAATTGCAGGCCACCCTGAGACTTTGGATCCTGAAGAGAATGTCCTGCCGAACGTATGTGCTCTTGTTTTTCCCCGCCGCTCAGAGGTCGCGCGACTTGCGAATGGCTAGCACATTGAACTACCACCGATAAGCGAATTTACGCGATCGAATAGCATTCACCGGGTGAATGATATTGGACGATTGTGCATTTTTTTAAAAATGATATTCGACTTCCGCCTCGTTGGTCTCATCGGAAACCGTTGAAATCCATCAATTTGAAATTTCGAATTCACCTCGGGACTTGAGATTCGATTTTTGAGTTGATGCAATCGATGTTAGAAACTTCATCTTTCACCGGATTTTTTGTTTCGTCACTTCTTTCTGTCGTTGTGTTTTGTCAATTCAAGTCTCTGTGTTTCCAATTTGCTGCCTTTTAGTGTTTCGTATTTTCATATTTTCTTCTATTCATTTCATTTTAAAAAAAATCTGAACTCTGATTGGCTCCTGCTTTCACCAATCATCGGTATCTCTCAGCACTCATCAATTTGTTTGATGAATGATATTCGATTGCGAAAATTCGCTTGATGTGATCTCGGCTCGATCCTGGAGGCGGGCGATTAATTTTTAATTTGGTCGCAGATTTTCAACACAAAAATTTGGTCTATTTTACACATAGGAATAATTAACACACAAAAAAATCAACCAACAGCTTGTGTTACTTTGCGTCTTACTTCCTATGTCAATACAAAATTTTGGTCAATTTTTCTTACTGTGATGGGGACTTTTGCGTATGCCCAATCTATGAGTCCCGGGAACCAAAACAAGATATTGTAACCCGTTAAATTCGTCGTGTCTGAAGGTTTTGATGAAATATAATTGCAGCTTTTTCTCGAAAGTAAATATTTTACTATTGACACAAAACCAATTGCTATTATTTTTTTGTAAATAAAAAAGGTTTTATTTAAACAAATTGTTACAGCTTCTACAAAAACGGTATGCCTTATATCTATTTACATGAATTAGAGTAACAAAAGTATTGAGAGAAAAAGTAACATTAGATAATACAGATTATCTAAAAGACTAGGGATAAAATTAAGAGCATTTCATTGCTATAAAACAATAGTTTATTGTTTAACAAAATTATCGTAACTATCCACTTTATTTATTTTTTTGCCAGGTAAAAATTATTGATCCCAAAAATATCTCGTGAGTATGTTATTCAATATTTGCAAAGGGAGGACATTTTGAAACATTACTACAATGAAAAGAGAATTGGTTACCTCCTTTCACATTGTCATTTCAAAATATGTAAGCGTTTATTGGAGAGGTGACCTTTGTCAAAATATTAAATACCGAGTTTTGAACGACATAAATTAAGAAAATTGAATGTTATGGTTTTTAATTTTTAGTTCCCAAAACGCAGTTTCAAGAAGAAAAAAATTATTTGTTTTAGGCGGTCAATAGTCGGATTGTAATGCAAAAATGTGCTCTTTTTCGGTACGAAAACGTTCCGAACACTAGCAAATTAGTTTCTCAGATTTATTCAAGAAAGTTTTCATTAACATTTAAAAACATCCGACTTTCCGACCCAATTTGACAGAAATAACTCTTCTGAAAAATTCTCTGTGGTTTAAGGTCATTTTTCTGACGGACAGTCATACACCGACCAGTTGCGTGGCGTGCTTTGTGATATATCGATTGATCCCCCATATAAACCTATGGAAAAGGATCGATAGACAGGGCGTTCGCAACGAACCCCTTAATAATCGATTCTTTACCATGGCTTCAAATGGAGAAATATCGACAATCGATTATTCACTCCTCGCCACTAATATCGACGGCGAAACTCTCAAATCACTTTTTTCAGTTGTGGTGTTTTAAAATATATGCTCCCTCAATATTCATTTAAATGAGAACAAATCAACATCATTCCTTGAAGTTTTCTCAGAATTTTCCCCGTACAAAAAGGAAAAATTACAGCAGTCTGTAAGGATTCCTGCTGAGCAGTTTTCATTTTAAAAAATAAAGTATTACAGAAAATCTGCAACGTCGCAAACCGAGACGGATGGTTTGAGATTTTGCTGTCGATACACGATACATCACAATTTGAATGAACGCAGTAGAACGGCAAATGATCTAACGCGATTACTCTCTCGAAACAAAGCGCACGAAGCGCCTTCCGAACGAGGGACACGCAAAAACGCTTGCACGTGTCCTCTCTCAAACAGAACATTTTGTACACCACGCCACTGGAAAGGAGCTGTGTTTAAGGAACGACTATGAATACGGCCTGAGGTCATTTTCTAAACACTTCATTTTTTCACTTACTGTTCTTTTCGGTGACACAGCAGTATAAATGGATTACTTTCATAGTTTTTCAGTCTCCGCCCCTTCCTTATCCTGAGCTTGAATGTCGGATAGATGCCTGCCCTCTGTTTCTGGCAGGAAGTGAGTGAAAAATAGACCTGCGACGCATACAACTGCGTAGAAGAGCAAAACTCCCTCCAATCGAAGGAACTCCGTCATGGCTGGGAACGTCCTGATTCCTACGAATGTTAATATGAAGTAGAAACTTGAAGCGACGCTGGTAGCAGGTCCACGGCCCCTGAAAAACAATAGCATAACTCGGAATTATTTACCATAAGTTCCCTATCAAACCGTCCCTCAGCAATAGCTTTAATTTATCTTGAAAACTGTATTGTCGAAACAAGTATTTGTAGATGAGTCGCAAAATTTTGATCCAATCTGTATCAGGACTTTCAGCAGCAAAGGAAGCAGAACACAAAGAAAAGCAGGACCGGATTAAGGGGGTGGCCACATGGGCCGGGGCCCAAAATTAGGGGGCGGCAAATTTTGCAATTTTTTTAAATGCCGGCACAAAAAAATCGGATTCAAACAAAAATTACAAACAAGAAAAGGTGACAAAATCCCTCATTTCCTGAGAGTTCATTAATTTCTAATTTTGTCGTATTTCGGTGATACAAAAGACTGCGCACCTTTAATCAGTTGAGTTAAGAGAGAAACCAAACACGTAATTTGACCTGGAGCGGCGCGGCGCAAAGACAAATGATAACGAGGACTTTAGATGAAACGGAGAAGCCCTCGACGCGGCGGTCGGCATGTAACACATATTAGCGCCTACGAGACTGCATGAATACTTCACGCATTGCATCGAACACAGTACGGTCTAGCTGTCGGCGCGGCGCGGCGTGAAACGCACAGTGCCTACAAGACTACATGAATACTTCACGCATTGCGCCAAACACAGTGTGGTCAGCACGTTACAGCGGCGGAAGTTAAAATTATTAAACCACATTTATGTTTGTTCTTTCTTAATTTTTTAGTTCATTTCTTACAAATGAAAGGCCTTGTCCCCACAGAGATAGGTTTACGGAACTGAACTTTTGCGCGAAGTTTCGTGAACTTTTGCCAGTAGTGTTGACAGGGCTTGCGCAGAAAATGTGTCCAACACGAGTGAACGCGTCTTATGCACCCTTCTTTCCCTGGCACGTGCACTTGATGGTTTTATTAATGTTTCAAAATGAATGAGAAGAGGGCGGCAAAATACAGGCGGCCCATGGGCGGCAAGTAAGTAAATCCGGCCATGAAGAGAAGAGGAGTTTGAAGAAAAAAGGAAGGAAAAGAAGGAAAAAGATGTAGACATGAGAAAGAAGAAGAAGAGAAATGAATAACCTCAGAGGATAGCAGTGGACCCACACAAGCAAGAACTTTTCACCAAACGGGAGGAGATCATTTTAATGTCATGTCAGTTTCCCTTCAATTTTTAGATTAGGTAATACGAGTTTCCAAATGGTCGAATAGTGGTATCATCCCCCTGGCAATAATCAGACTGCCTCTGTCGGCGAAATTTGTTGCAAGCATGATACCATAGGAAGAAGATGAAAATAGGAAGGAGACAGAGAAGAAGAAAATAAGAAGGAGAAGAAACATAATAAGATGGGAGAAAGAAGGAGAGGAAAGGTAGAAAAAGCAATGAGTAAAAATAAGTGAATGGAGATAAATGAAAGAGAGAAAGAGGAAAAAGAGAAATCAGATGAGAATCGAATATCAAAATAGGAGGAAAAATAGCAACGAGGGAGAAAAATATAAGAGAAAGAAGAAAAAGAAAAAGAGAGAATAAGAATAAGAGGGAAAAGAGAAACAGTAAGGAGGAAAAAGCAAAGAAGAAAAAGAGAAAAAAGTGGAGGATAATAAAAAGAGGAAGGAAAGAAGATGAAGAAGAACATCATAAGAGAAAGAACAAGAAGAATGTAGGGAGAAGAGGTAAAAAGAAAGAAAGATAATGAAGAGAGAGGATGAAGGAAAGAGAAGGAAAAATATGTTAGTAATAGTAGCGTAAGTTTATTTTTAAGAGGTGCCTTGGAAAAAGAGTTGCACGCTGACTTGGAACTCGTACAAAAGGTAGCTCCTTACCAAACGGGGAAAGATCACATTGACGCAATCTCACTTCGCCTTCAATTTTCACTGTCGGCAAAACGAGCTGCTTCGTGGTCGAGTAATGTTATCATCGTGAAATAGTATGCTTAAATGTCTTTTTGATGGTCATACCGAGATAAGACAGAAATATTTAGCCAATATTTAAACAATATTGTTTTGATATTCATGCAAACATTGGGCCAATATTGGTCAAATATTGAGCCAATGTCAAAAATGTACACCATATTTCCTTTTGGCATAAACACTGTGACAATACTTTAAAATACTGTGAAAATATTTGTATAATACTTTGGGTAAACATATAATTTTTAAAAATTCTAAATAAAGATTCTTTAAATATTTTTTAAAAAAATAATTTCGATTAAAACATTATCAAAATATTGTCAGTATGGTGTAAATATTGCGACAATACTGACAATCTTTGCCCAATATTGTAAAAATAGTATGTCTTATCTGGGTATTTAATCACCGGAAAAATCATTATTAATTTGTTGAGACTACCTACTTGTAAGGGAGAATTTCTCCCAGGTACGACCACGCAATCGGCTGAATCCCCAGATTCCAGAAGAAGTAAAGAGCCATGGCGAAAGTTAAATGGCACCAACGATGGAACGATGCAATGACGGTTCCCTCCAAGTACCCCATGAGATCTGCGGCCATCGAAAACAGACACAGCGCAGAACCCGCCAAGGAGGCGAGGAATAGCGGTTTTTTCTTCAACTTCTTTATGACAAACATACATCCGATGTTGCCGAGCATCCCCATTAGGGCCACCCATACCTATGAACGGGAAAATAATGTTAAGGGATGAGGGGTTAACGAAATAACACCTCGTTGAATAATAGTGAGTATATATGAAAGAAATAGAGCTTAAACTATGACATCGTGCGGACGCGCTCCTACAGGTGAAAGAGAGGACTGACTACAAAGAGGTTTTCTTTTTTTGATCGGTAGATCTGCCTAAATCCACCGATGGAAATCCATCGGCCGCCATTTTGGTACCTACGAAATTGCCCGCGATCAGTCGGGAGTTTAAGAACACACTTTCCACCAATGTAAACAAATGGATTTCTGCCTCTCATCAAACCTTTACCGCAATGATACTGCAATAGTGCAAATATATACTCAATGTACCAGCATTAACTCCTTTTTTGCTACAAATAAAGTACGGGTGAAAATATCACTAAAAATATTACATAATTCAATACATAGGCGACAATGACGATCCAAGCAGAATCATCAGACTCAGCGACGGCGGGAGGCGCGAAATACTCACGATTTCTCGTTTGTTTGCTTGTTTTTGGCCTGAGATCTGGCTGAAGTAAGGTTAGGTTGTCCACCGGTGGAGCTGTGATCGGAGAAATGACCGATCACACCGATCACTGATCGGTGGTACCAAATCCACCGGTCGTACTTCCACCGGTCGTACTTCCACCGGTCGTGACGTCAGCACCGACGGATCAATTAACGAACACAGTTTGGTGATCGGCGGTACCACCGATCAAAAAAAGAAAACCCCTCAAGCAAAATTAGAACTGGACATGCGAGGGAACTATGGCTCTCAGTGGAAAAACAAGGATGAAAAAACGGGAAACAAGGTTAAAAATACACAATTAATGAAGCCCGAGGCGTTTCGACTCAAAACTAAGTCATTTTCAGTCGGAAACAATACAAATTTAAAAGAAAAACGATACATTTTTATTAAAATTAAAATTAAAAAATTAAAATTAATATTAAAATTTTTATAGAAAAAAAATTAAATTTTTATTGTTTCCGACTGAAAATGACTCAGTTTAGAGTCGAAACGTCTCGGGTTTCATTAATTTTTAGCCTTGTTTCCCGTTTTTTCATCCTTGTTTTTCCACCGTTATCATTGTCTTGGGCTGCTCTTAAAAATATGTATCTATGGCTCTCAGGTGACCACATCCGCGATGAGTGATAATACATATAAGTTTTGATACATAGATGCAAAATCTTGCATTATATTTAATGAATTAGTTTAAACTTCAACAAATAATAATTTCAGTTGAAAGGTCAGTTGCGCTGGTCATAGACACGTTTTTTGGGTGCTTAATTATTGTAGATTAGCTACAAATAATAAGATTTGTCCAGGGCCGGATTTACCTACTTGCCGCCCCCTTCTCATTCGTTTTGAAACATCAAAAAAACTATCAAGTGAACGTGCCGGAGGGGGAAGGGTGCATAAGACGCGTTTACCTACTCGTGTTGGATACATTTTTTGCGAAAACCCTGTCAACACTACTAGCAAAATGTCACGGAACTTTGTACGATAGTTAAGTTCCGTAAACCTATCTCTGTGTAGACATGGTCCTCCATTTATAAGAAATGAACCAAAAAATTATGAAAGAACAAACATAAATGTGGTTGGATAATTTTTACTTCCGCTGCTGCGCCGCCGTGCTGATCGCACTATGTTTGGCGCAATGCGTGAAGTATTCCTGCGGTCTTGTAGGCGGTATGCGTTTCACGCCAATCGCTCCTGACCGCACTGTGTTTGGCGCAATGGGTAAAGTATTCATGCAGTCTTGTAGGCGCTAATATGTATTACATGCCGATCGCCGCGCCGAGGCGCAACCATCCTCCTTTTCATCTCAAGTCCTCGTCGTCATTCCTCTCTGCGCTGAGCTCCAGGCCAAATTGCGTGTTTAGTTCCTCCCTTAACTCGTCTAATTAAAGATGCTGTCTCTTGTATCACCGAAAAACGACAAAATTAGAAATTACTGCACTCTCAGGAAAGAGAGATTTTGTTCCCTTTTCTCTTTGATAATTTTTTTTTTTTAATCCGATTTTTTTTATACACCTACATTTAAAAAAATTGCAAAATTGGCCGCCCCCTAAATTTGCCACCATGGGCCGCGGCCCATGTGCCCACCCCCTTAATCCGGCCCTGGTTCTATTCAAACAGCAACTTTCTGCGTTCAATATTAACCGAGATATCGTGTTTTTATAAATGCAGTTTACGATGTTATCCACCGCGGTGGTGATACTCTCGATTCCTTCCACCTTGCTTTCATCAATCAGTGAGACACCCATTTGCACTGGTTACTCAACGTAAACTTTTGATAGAACCTACTTAAAAATCATAGGAAATTCATCCGATAGTTTCCTCTCTAAACCATAAATTAACAATGGATATACCTGAACACCGAACCGTGAAGTGCCTTTTTTGCACCCAACGCCTCATCCTCCTCAAGTTTCTTTTGCCTAATTCATTTGCACATAGTTCTTTTCAGAACAAATCTGACAAATTTCAAGGGAATTTATTTAGAAAATTGCAAAGAACTTGAATTTGCAGTTGCCAAAGTTATGAGATCGTGTTGATGGTTGGAACTAACGGATCAGCTGAGGATGTGAGGCTCTGTCTAAACGAACAATTACACGTTCAGGATAAATAGAGATTAATGAAACCCCTTCAAAAATTGCATTCTTTTGCTGTGGGTGATTTTTGCAAATTGATATTCAGTTCTGAGAAAAATTCAACTAACGTTGGCAACGCGCGACGTGTGTAATACAGCATTGTTAGCAGTGGCGTGGCGTGAAGGATCGATTATCGATATATCGCCATTTGAAGCTATGGTAAAGAATCGATTACTAAGGTGTTCGCTGCGAACGCCCTGATAATCGATCTTTTTTCATAGGTTGAATGGCGAATCAATAGATATATCGCAAAGCACGCCACGCCTCTGATTGTTAGAAAAATCGGGGTGATATCCGAAGCATATTTCACACCGGAAGCTATTTTGAACCGATTGATATGAAAAGAGCGAAATTTAAGGGCGATGTTAACTCCACAAAAAGAGTAAATTTCCTTTCACACTGAAACATTCGGAGTTTTAAGGGCAAAATGAGCCTCCTGACTTCACACTGATTTTTCCAACAGTGAAGTTGAGGCAAGTTTCTCATAAAAAGAATTATTCCACACTTACGCTAGCTTTTTTCGGGTCGACGGGCAAGTTGAGATCGTCGAAAATTTTGACCATGTACGTCCGAAGTATCGGCACCCCAGAGAAGCAGTTGATCGCAAAGATAATGCAACATTTAGTCAAAGGTATCAGCATTTCTTTCCGGGTCATATCCTTGAACATTTTTCTCACCCTCTCGCTCAAGCCTTGTGACGCGCTAGCAGGTTCGGCTAGTTCGGCCTCTTCAACGGTTGGACAGTTCTTGTACTCTGCTACCTTCCCGCTCCATTGTCTCTTGAGGAGCTTTTGGTTCTGGTTCTTAGTGAATGATACGATTTTTTCGTACTCCTCCCGGACTGTTTCGGCGTCTGTCCAGCCTCGGAGCCAACGCAAAGATTTCAATGCAGCGTCCGATCGGCCTTTGGACACTAGCCACATTGGTGTCTCCGGTACCTAGTTTAGCACAAAAGAATACGCACAATTGTAGCTATAAAGTGGGTGTAAAGGAATTTCCGCATGAGTAGGGAAAATTAGAGCATTTTACAGGCTGTTTGGATTAACTTTGCTTGAGCCAGTAGGGCCATTTCACCAAAACCTTACGGGTAAATGACCGTTTTTTTCTTTTGCTTGTCGAAACAACGTGATGCCTGAGAGGTAAATAAATGCACATTATGATGAGGGCATCACTTTAATTTAAAAAAAAAAATTAGCTTGTTTTTTTCCAGTCACCCATTTTAGCTCTTCCGCATCCATTTTCCTCATTTTTTATATCTAGGCCTTCTGAGACGCGGGGGCTCAGGGGTGGGGGAGTTGCATCTGATCTATGGCCATGGGCTTTCTTCATCTATCGATGAATTGGATTTGTTCATGCTCAACAGAACTACATGCATAGGGTTTGCAAGCAACATTGTCCTTTTTTGCATGAATACGTCTAATCGATGCTTGTTTAACGAAGAGTTATTAATTAAGAAATAGTTATCCATTGCAATGAATCTTTTACTTGGAACAGAATTATGATGCATAGAAGCGGTATCGACGCACTGATAGCGGCTGTCTGTCGCCAATCGGTCAAACTGTTGAGGAAAATGATGAAAGAGAATCCTAAGGAGATGAAAAGAGAGGTGGAGGCAACAAGAATCCCTCTAAGCGATGGTTCGCTAATCTCGATAACGTAACGTAGTCCCGGTGCCGTCGTTAGCCCCATAACTGTAACATAGTGAGTTCAGTTCAAAATAATAATAAAAAATTAAAAATCGATCGTGGTATACACATCCCTTTAAGGAGTGTGCGGGGTCCTTTATACTTTGTTGAATTTTAGGAGCTGCAAGTATGGCAATCCTTGTAGCTCCTAAAATTCAACTGAAGAAAGCGTAAAAATGGTTCCTGGAGACTCTCAGAGTTAACTCCCTATCCCATATTTCTTATTTTTTAATTTCGCCAGCAGTCCCTGGATTGGGGAGTAGGATGATATAAGTTTCTAGGCAGTAGAACTTTACACTTTATTATTCTGAACCATTTCATTACAATTTTTTTGGATTGAATATCTTTTTAAGGTGTCTAACAGGATGATAATCATAATACTGCAGAGTCGGTTATAAACTACAAACATTTACTAAACCAATTCTCTTTTACTTAGTAGATTTCTCCAATAATTTTAAGACGTTAATTCTTCCCTCAAAGAATGCATCTATTGGGTTTGTAGGTTCGATTACATCTACTTTAATGTCATTATTCATCATATCATGGTAACATTGATATTTGTTCAATGATCGGGATAGTTGACTCAAATACAATGAACATAGGGAAATGATCCATTCAACCTCATTAATCTAGCATAATTGAACTCTTTAAGGACTGAAATAATTGATGTTATCAAAAAGCTTGAGCAAAACAAAGAAAAAATATTGCCTCGGACTTTTTGGAAAATCATTGCGTCTTGCGCCGGCCTCTCATCCAGGGGCAAAAATTTCTGGGGGGGGGGGCAGGGGGAGTCTGGTTACTAGTTTTGCATTTACCAACTTTACTTGACAACAACCCAACAGATCGAGTATATGATGAAAAATGATTGAGCCTCATTTCTTAATCTCATTCCTAAGAAGTACTACCGGTTGGCTCTAATGGCTGTATTCATTAAATCATACATTCATACGTAACGTCCCGTCAAGCATTGTATAAACACAGCAATCAATATTTTATATACATACCGCAGCCAAATAGCCCATTGGCGAAATATAGTGCATAATTAGAGGTCGCGAAATGAACTATCAGCCAACATGCAATTAATGGAATGTTCAAAAGCATCATCGATTTCTTACAGCCCAAAGGTTGGAGAGCGAGTCCGGCAATAATGCTTCCGAGTGGCTGGAAAATACAGCCCACGCTTCCTATAAAGAAAAATAACAACCGGAGGGTATAAAATTGTTAAAGTAATTACTTAATATAATTACAGGAAACACACGGATGCGTTACTGAATTGCAACGTTCCAATTATTCACTGGCAGAAAATGGTAACACAGCATATCAACGGTGACATCCTCAAACTACGAGTCTCGTCTGCTCTGTTTTAAATGATCGATCCTGCCTCGTTCTTTAAAGGAGGACAAATGGATTGCATTTTGCAAAAAGGAACCACTAGCATTGCAATGTTGCTAAGATTGTGCAACTCCTTTTGTCTTGAAGGAAAAACCCGATTATCCTTCAATATTTTCTATTTTACTCGCTAAAAACTGTAAATTTAAGACAAAAATTACCACCTAAATTTCATAGTTTTTCACGATTTCCGCAATTTTATTGCAAAAGATGAAGTTGCACAATCTCAGCATCATTGCAATGCTAGTGGTTCCTTTTTGCAAAATGCAATCCAAATCAACATCATACCTTGAAGTTTTCTCAGAATTTGTTGCTCACAGTTAGGAAAAATCACGGAGGTTTTTAGGAATTAATGTTGAGTAGTTTTTTAAGTATAGCAGGAAGTCTGCAACGTCGCAAACTGAGATATGTGGTTTGGGAGTTTCATCATCGATATGTTCCTTCGGACAAATGACTGAAATGAACCGCCTAAACACAAGCGCAACACACAGTGCGCCGTACCCGCAGGCGCGGGAAATCGGGAAAAGCGTGTTACAAACTACACTCTAGCTCTGCCATGATAGCGAGGACAGCAAAAATGCATTTTTGAAAAAACGGGCTCAGAAGCTTCTGACCGGAAAATTTAATTAAAAGAAGCTTCCGTTCTTAGTCAAATGGCTGCAAATCATCCAAAAGACTCCTAGAGATCGTTTGGATCATTAAAATTCGACTGTTTTTACTTTTTATTTCAATCATACATAAAAATATTATTTTTAATTTTCATGCTAGGCTATTGTTAGGCAGTATAGCCGTAAGTGCTACCTTCTGCATGCTTCCGTTATTGCGTTTTTGAAACACATCAAACATATTTTCAGGTTAGACATTTTCAGAAGAGGGCGGCACTTTACTTGAAGGCAGCTAGTGTTTTCATTAGCTATCTGGGGGAATATGGCCACTTACTGCGGCTGTCTTACCTGAAACTACGTTATTTTTTGCGCACTAACGGCTTGCTCACATGTCTCGTTTTGGTGCAATTAAGATGAATTTTGCTGTTTCAGCAATTTCAGTGATTTCATCCAAAAGAGATCACATAAATGTTGAATCTCGATCTCGAATATTCGACACTTACTTCTCTCTTCGCTATCACAGCCGAGCTGCACGCTGAGAGGAGTGGGATTCGAACTTTTTCGATGAGCCCATCGTGATTTTGGGGCGATTTCACCTGAAGACAGTCTATTCACTCAGGTGCATTTCATGCGTGCAACATACTCATTACACTCGTACGTAGTGTTTATTAATCGATAAAGATAGATAAAAAATAGTTAATATAGCGCACCGCACCACGAGGCTTGTTCCATGGTGAGATGAAGCACGTCTTGGGAGTTCTTGGCGGTCAGGGCTGGGATGAGAATGGTCGGGAATCCAATGATCATGCCCATGGTTAAATACAGCACTATTGTAGCACTGGTCGCGATAATCTGTGAGAAAAAACAAGGATGGTGTTATCTCTTCACTTTCGTCCCAGAATCCCAGATAAGAAGTAGATAACTTAAACTATGCTCAGCATCCTCATCTACTCTATACACGACAGGAAGAATTTGCTTAAAATATATAGTTGATTTATTACAAATGTGATGAATCATCGCTCATGATAGACCACCGTTCCGCGATGTGAGTGTAAATATAGTGCGTAATCACTAAAAACTGAAACTGTTTTTTGTTTTAAATCGCTTTTATTATTGTGAGATAAGTAGAAACCACATGGTGATCAAAAGACCTGATGATGGAATTCTCAAATCCTGAAATGACCATTGTCATTTAAAGTAAGAACATATTTAGGAGATCAGGAAGAAAAGGTAAAAACAAAAAAATTCTAAGAAAACATCATCATTATATTTGATTTGATCACATTGAAAACAAAGACACCAGCGGAAAAAGAGATCTACCACATAGTGGACAAAAGTGTTCATGGAGAAAATGGGAATTTAAGGAACATCAATTTTTATTTTTTTCTTTCCGTTGATCGGACTACATTTTGCAATTATGAACTACAATTTCTGGATTATTCGTGAAAACATGTATCTGTTAAGGGAAACTAACGTTACATACGTTGTTCGTAAACTGAGCCAGACATTACAGCCATTACATTACAGTTCCTGAATGCAATATGTGGTCCAATTGTCCTTGCTGTTGTCACTTAAACGTTTTAATTACAAATTGGCTTTATATCAAATAATACTTTAAAAAAAACAATAAGGTACCTGAGGTAAAATCTGACGAAATCGGCTGATTTTTTTGACGTCACTCCGTGGAGGTACATATGGATCCTCCATGATTATTTCACGCAATGAACTTAAAAAATTACAGTCAGTTAACAACTGTAATACCTATTCACTTGTAAGCGAACTGAGAAACTGAACAGCCTCCAAAACACGACTAAAATATTTTGCCCGTCTCCAATGATAAGGTATCGAATCCGGCAATTATTGGTCGTAGGAGCCACTTACACGTTGTTTGAGATAAAAATGCTCCGTAAAAGAATTTCGGATTTCTCTGTAGGAAAGTGTGTGAAATTAAATCAGAATTAAATATGACAGTTCCTTCAAATTTCCTAAGGTATTTTATTTATTTAGTTTTTTAAAAAAAAATTCAAGGAAGATGAACAAAAGCATTCAATCATATTCGCAATCCGGCACCATTGCGCGGATCTACCATAATCAGTAGGTGTTTGACCCGTTGAGTAGTTAGTTACACATACATTTGATAACCACTCGATTCCAGCTGGCCTGGGCCGATATGTACATACTTTCCAAACTTTTCCTGTCAACTTGATTGGTACAGTGATAAATACAGGGTGTCCCAAACTACCCGTACCAGGCTTCTTCTCTCAGCTATTCTACATTGAGAAAAAAAGGTTCGGCCATACGAACCGTAAGTGCGGTGCTCTGCATCAGCCATTGGTTCACGAAGCCGTACTTTCGGTTGTAAAGGCCGTCTCGGTTGATGCAACCGATCTTCCAAACCAAACCAAACGATAGAGAAAATTCGTTCGTATAAACAGATGATGCGGTACTTAGAACCGAAGAGGTTAGTATGGTCAATTTAGAGTACCGTACTTTACGGTTCACATGAACGAACTTTTTCCTCAGCGTAGGTCATGAAGGGGACCCTGGAGTCGAAACGGGAAATGACCCCAAGGATTTTCATCATACCCCCCCCCCCCCNAATTATCAAGCTGCCTCCTTGGGCGATCACAGTGTTTTGCTTGCTTGTAATTGGTTTCTTCGAACGTACCTTATATAACGGTTTTATAGATGCCTTACACGGAAAAAAATGACTGTGCGCGGATAACCATCTTGGTTTTATTAATTAAAAGTTGGTGCCGTATACATGAAAAAATAGATATAATAAACAAATATATAACATATATAAACATGATAGAATAACCAATGGCATTGTATTGTCCACAACGTCTTTAGGGAAATCAATCATTTTCAATTAGTTGCTACTAGCTATTACAAATCTGTTCATCGAGACAAAATTGATGGTAAACTGCCCCATCAAGCAGGCCCGCCACAAGAAGGGGGGGGGGATACTGGTTCCCTGGTACCGAGGCCCGTGTTACCCGTGAAAAACCACTACGAATTCACATGCAACCCTTGTTTCGTAAGAAAAAGTGAAAAATTTACCCTAAAAATTTCGCAAAAGGTGAATAGATTTTCAGAAACACGCTGGGGCACTGTAGAATTCTTCTTAAATTTTCAAAGAAGTATACATCTTGGAAAATGTCTATATCTATTTTCAAGATTTTCAGTATGGAGGGATATTTTCAGTAACAGCGTTTCATTTTCTTCCGTCGTCAGATGCTAAGAGTCTCCAGTCTGGGCATCCTCGACTTCAATGGCTCATGGCTCAATTCCCTTGCCATAGACAAACGAAGGGGGAGTCCAGGGGGCCTGGCCCTCCTAGAACTGAAAATAGTATCATATGCCCCCCCCAAAGAAGAAGAAGAAAAAAAAAAATTCCAGATGTTTTGAATGCAACAATTCGCAAGTATTTTGTGCTGAAAGTATAAAAAAAGAAACATGATTATTCCGCAGAAATTGATGGAAAAATTCTTTATGGAAGCTTTAAAATGCGTCCGATTAGTCGAATAAATTCTAAAATTTCTCGGGGGATGCCCCTCTGACCCCCCCTCCGTGCTTGGAGCCCGGACCTTAAAACTGGTACCAGGGCCCGAGATGGGATGTGGCGGGCCTGCCATCAAGTTGACTCATTGCACCAAAGAGTGCGCTTGCGCTTCACCTATCTTGTTTTTGGTTGATGCTACTCGGTTAAGTGGGCTCATTGAACTACAGAATTAGTTAGTGCAAATTATAAACTTGTTGATTATGAAGGTCACCATCTCAGATAACTCAATTGAAGTATTTTGTTAGTAGTCTGCCCCGTCAATTTTTTACGCTTTACCAACATGGAGTCACCAAAGATAGCAATCAGATATGGGCTGATTAGGGAAAGAATGTTGATAAATTTTCAAAAATTCATATTCAACCCACCTTGTGTGATTGATAAGCGTGTAATAATATGTTCGTGGAGCGTACTCCTTTTCCCGTCCCTGGTTCGGGCGACGGTAAAGTCGCCGCAAAACTATATGACTTCGCGCAATTAATTATTCTTGACTCTGCTCGGTTTTAATGATAATTAAAGGGCATTTATTACAACAATTCAGAAACTCAGACGATGTTAAATTTTTCACTGATTTAAAAAAAAAGGATTAAAACGAACTAAAATATTCATCAAAACCAAAAATTATTTTATTCTAAAAGTAAAGTATACCTCATATCGTAATTTTTGAGGGAAAAAATAAAACTAACAGTGATATGAGGTAAAAATAGGGCCGCGAAGCGGCCCATTGATGGCGCAGAGCGCCTTCAGGGGGTTGGACCGCGTAGCGGTCAGGGGGCATAGCCCCCTAGTATTTGACTATTTGCCTAGGCATTTGACAAAATGCCTAATTTTACTATTTGCCTGCGACATATCGATTGCAGTGTTTGAAAATGCCTTTCCTCCCCCCTCCCCTTGGCACCAAGTTCTACGAAAATCCGACGAGCAGGAACCGAGATAGCGTTTTAGGCCACGCCCGCCACCATGGTTTTTCGAATTTTCGAAATTAGACTAAAAATTTGAATTTAATCGATGGAATGGGAGCCGATGTATCAATTTAGGCTACGTCCGCCGTCTTAAATTTTCAAATTCAGAAAATGCAACTTGAAACGCATCATACCCAAAATCTAAGCTCGGATTCGGCTTCCTCGTGAAAAATCGATGCTATTTCATGTATCATATGTTACCATAGCATAAAGAAAAGAGGGTAATCGTAGGCGTAAAGATTCTATCAAAGGCGGCCGGTATGCGGAAGTAGGCACAGAATTCAAACGTTTGAGCTACGCCGCCAGACGCCGGCGCTAACCATTTGGTTCGTCCGTTTCCGAGAAAACAAACTTCTTCTTACTCATCAGCTGACCCACTCCGAATCACCCATGTTGCCACGTCGGACTGATATATTAGAATCTACACGCCTACGTTAATGTCTTTCCTTCATGAAATGGTGACATATGATACATGAAATTACCTCGATTTTACCACGAGGAATCCGAATCTGAGCTTAGATTTCGGATATTATGCGTTTTAAGTCAAATTTTCTTTTATCTATTTTAAATAACTCAGGAAAATTTGCGGAAACTCATTAGAATAACAGTGTGTATTCTTTTAAAAACATTGATCAAGAATAAAACATTGACGGTATTTGAATCCATTAATCTCCGAGATAACTTGAACACGGTTGTTCTACGACTTTTTACGTATGTTGTTTTCTTCCGTATTGGTTGTCGGCAGCGTAGCGGCCAAAGACCCCTGGTACTAATAATAGTTTTCAAAATCAATTTTTTTCTACATTCAAAATTCCAAGGAAATGGCAGAAATTGATCAATTGTTAATAATGTTTTAACAATGTTTCTTGTCAATTGTATGCTGTCGTTAAGCTAAACATCCCAGGTTTACCAGTAGGCTAGGCATGCACTATATTTAACACCATGTCAAGGCTTCAGTACTTTAGAGGGGTAATTTTTTTATTTTCTATTCTACATAATCTCACTTGTTCAAGTAAGTAGTCTGGGATTATTTGTCCAATGCTAGAAGCACTTTAGTCAATCATAAAAATAATCCTAGTTTGAAAATTTTGAATTGATTCTCGACATGAAAAGAAAAAAAGAAAAAATAGATAAATAAAATGCAGTTATAAATAACAACGAAGAGATGTTAAATGAAGTATAAAAATTAAAATGAAGTGACTGAATTAAAGTAAAAAAATAAAAAATTGCAAGAAATAAAATAAAGTAAGTAACGGTAAAATACAGGGAAAAAATAAAGAATAAATAATCAAAGAAAAATAATATTAATTAAAGAAAAAACAATAAAGTAAAACATTAAATTAAGTAAAGAAACAAAGGAAAAAAATTAAGATAAAGTAAATAAATAAAAAAGAAATAATCAAAGAAAAATTATATTACGTAAAGAAAAAAAATAAAGTAAAAAAATTAAAATGAAGTAACGAAATAAAATAAAGTGAAAAACTGAAATAACGTTAAAAAATAAAATGAAATACAAAAATTAGAAAAATGAATGAACCAATCTAAGTATGTAGATTGAATACCCTGGTTTTCCGTTCAAATCGAAGGCATGAACAGGTTTTTCGGTCAAAATACACATCATACTGTATAGCTCAATCGTTAGGGTCTTCGGCTGGGGTTAAATAGGTCCCAGGACTCCCAGGTTCAATCCCCGCGGTAGGCAATAAAATTTGATAGATCGGATACGACTATACAGCACCTCATAATAAGTACTGTAGTCTCATTTTACTCGATTTCGAAATTTATTTACGCGATTAACCCTTTTCCACCATCCCCTAGCTGCGAACCCCGGCATTGCACACCTTTGTATTCAATTTTTTTAGCTGTACGTTTCACAAGAAAATACTCCTCTTTATGGCTAAGAACACAAAATATTAGGTTCTCCTTGCTTTCATGATTGATACACTAAACATCCGGATGGGTCAGTTTACCATCTTTGAAGGTCTATCTCAGCAACGTTGCACGGGACGTTTATGGAGGACGGCGCGCCCGCCCAGCAGTGTTGGTGCGAATTACCATCTTTGTTGTCAACGCCTACCTGATCGCGGTTTGAGGTTTCTAACCATCATATCATTTTGCTCGTAGCAAAATTATTGTTCTCAGGGGTCGAATCTGGGAATCCAAGATGGTAAATGTCACCTACTGTCTGGCCATAAGCACCAAAGATTTTTTTCCGTGTACATGACTCACAATAGTATTCAACGAAAGTCGTTACAATAAAGGAACACGTCCGTCAAAATTGAGTGATATATACTCCGTTTTATGATGGTCCAATTGCGACATTTCACAATATTGCATTCTCCGAGCTATCAATTCAATAGTCTTTGATATTATTATTTCAGGAATTGCGGCTGTAAATGATATCACATTCATTCGGAGTTAAAGGCCTTTTGAGGATGATCTTCGTGAGAAGTTGCACATTTTTCGTAATTTCAATCATAATTTAGAGCTATCAGGCGCGGTATCGTTTAGCTAAAAACTGGTCGATTTTTATATTAGATGAGAGAATCGCGCCTACTGACACTCCTTTCATACAGTGTCCCATTGAATAAGCAAAATTTTCTTCCTAGCGTTATATCCCTTACTTTTAATTGGACGTATTTCTGCCAAACGGAACTATGTGCATTATGACGTGAGCCCTGTTATGCATATATTCTTGTGGGTCTCAGGGCTATTGTCTTATTGCACATAGTTCCGTTTGGCAGAAATACGTCCAATTTATGAACTTTAAAGAAAAAGAAACCTTGAAAAGTTTGCAGTACAAACTGGTTTTTGCCTTTTCCATTCTGACACATTTGGTTTCTGTTTTAATTTCTAGACTATACTTCTAGACTTCTCTGTAATTTTGTGTGCTTTTTACGAAAGGGTGAAATCTGTATGAGAATTGCTCTAGAGTTTTCCTTTGAAAGATAGAACGTGAGCAGCAGTGGCGTAGCGTGCTTTGCGATATATCGATTGATTCGCCATTCAAACTTATAAAAAAGATCGATTATCAAGGCGTTCGCAGCGAACACCTTATAAATCGATTCTTTACCATAGCTTCAAATGGCGATATATCGATAATCGATCCTTCACGCCACGCCACTGGTGAGCAGAGACTTAAAACTAAATTCTGGAGTACGCATTTTAAGCGCTCAGCCGATAAGCAGCACTTTTTGATTTCGACTTGCCTCTAGAGTACTAGTATACTAGTGCTAATTCGTTTAAATGGTGCATCAGCTCATCGATGCGTAGGCTTTTTGGGGGGGGGGGTCCAGTTTTAAAATAAATAAAGCTGTGATAACCGTATTTTATGCTTTCAACGTATTGCGCGGGTAGTTTCGATCGTTTGTCTAAAAGAAAATTCCTTAGCGGTAGAGTAATTCTTATCGAAATTGATCGTTGAAGCTGAAACAAGCTTAATAAAACTCGCCTGATGAGCTCAACGGTGGCTTGCATTTTCGGGAAACGAAAAAACGCGTTTACATAGTCAATATTGCGCTCCTTTCATTACTTTACTAATATTGAATATTGTTCCCAAGTTCGGGTGTGTACGGCGTGTAGTATCACAAGCACCTTGCGTCAGTGTCACTCTCATTAGTTTTTGTTGTGTACGGCGTGTAGTAGCACAAGCACCTTGTGTCAGTGTCACTCTCATTGGTTTTCAGCGGTATATCATATCTGAAGATTAATTTACGTTGACACAATTCATCGCCAGTTAGTGTCTCTCTTCATCTGTGAGTTCCTCTGTGAAAGTTCCATTCCTTGGTTTCCTTGGTTTCCTTGGTAACCTTTGTTTGCTATCAACTGATAATTTATTTCCATTTCCCGGCCAAGTCGACGGATTTTATACTTCCTTTTTTCACCAAATACGTAGACTAACACCTGAGCGCTTTTCTAATACGACAGTATTAGAACTTTCCCGCTTGTTTCGACTTGGACATATTTATACTAAAAGGTACTAAGCGCCGATTTCAGTTCCTTTTGACGATTTAGAATCTGGGATTTTGAATTAAATCCAATGAAACTAAGCGCCATCGATAAACATTGTGAACATAGGACAAAAAAAAAAAGCTTCACAGCAACGGGCCCGCCAATGACGCCACCGGCGCTCTATGCTGCACTGAAAAAAAAGGATTGCTAATTCACCGATTTAGGGTGGAGCAAAATTTGCTTCACTTCGTAAAGCTTTCTTATCCGTGCACGGTGTTGAATCAAGTGAACGACTAGCACGAATTGCTACACCGATTTGCTACATCTGCGCGCCTTCATGCAGTTAATCTTGCATCGAGTGGCTTGGAAGTGTAACTGCATTTTTTGGTATTGGTACTTTGCGAACAGTAAAAATAGCTCAATAGTTAGGCTAAAATAGCGGAATTTACGGGAAAATAGCGAAATTTACGGAAAAATAGCGAAATTTACGGAAGAATAACTAAAAAGGTAACAGACGTAGCTTATCAGTGTAGCAAAATCACCTACACGCGTGTGTGTAAGTTAGCTGAAATTTGTGTAGCGATTTTACCTGCATGGTTTGCACGTTCGTTTTTTAGCACACCATGCAGTTGAAATACCCGCGTGCACGGCAATTTCAGCAATATTTTTTTTTCAGTGTGCTTATGAGTAGACACTCAAAGGCGCTTAGTTCCTTTTAGCATAAATACGTCCACTTCAGCTATCGATTCTTCATCACTCAACAGACACTGTCCACCAATTTCAGTCAGACGACTCGACCAGTTGATGGTCAAAAGACGCTCTCGTTCCAACTGTCTGGCTCCATCAGAGCCTTTCTGTCGAAAGAAACTCGAGAATCAGGCTTTGGACGCACTGCGAGACGGCATGCTATATTTCTCCTTCTTGTCGTGGTTTGACGTGAAGTAAGTCTCTATCCTCTCGAGGGTTTTTCCTTCCGTTTCCGGCAAGTTGAAATAGTAGTAGATGCACCCGAGGAAACTGAGAACTCCGTACATGTAGAAGAGTCCACTGAGCCCAACCATGCTCTCCATCCATAGGAAACCCTTGGTCAGCAAGAACGCGATGAAGCAGGACCATCCCGTCGAGATACCAGTTGCAATTCCTCTGGCTCTGAGAAGATAAATCATGTAATAATCACACAAGTCCATGCAAAAATCATTACAGTGATACATGCTTTAATGTAAATAGACATCGTCGCTTTGCTGGCATGACGGCGTACCTACACTTCCCGATGAACCCCATCGTCCATACGGTCCAATCATTTTCACGGCTCATCGCGCTGTGCCGTTACGCCCTTATTTTAGCCGGCGACGATATGACAGACAATTTAATCTGTTTCTGGATAGGAGGGCGCAAGTCCGGTAATTTTTAAAAAAGGAAATAGTCGCACTTTTGTTCTTCAAAAGTATTCTTGCACATTGTCTGAGATTTTTGTTTCATTTCTTATATTTAATTGGCAACAACATGCAATGCCTCTAAAGTTGTATCTCTCTCTAAGGGTTGTACCTTCATGCTGTACTTAAATAATGGAAGTGAGTTATAAAGCCTTAAAAACTCTTTTTAAACCCATTTCTTTTCTCTAAAATGCCTCTGCATTCCTTCATTCTCTTGAAAGAAGCGTAGGTTCAAACTTTTGAATCAGCCTGCAAGCATCTTAAAATTGTTTTCACCAAAAGAATTATTTCAGATGAGTGCGTTCATAAATATTACGTAACGCATTTTCCCGCATTTTTTACCCTGCCCCTACCCCCTTGTAACGTAGGTTCCTATAGTTCAACACGTAAAAACAAAATGGCGTAACGCTTTCCTCGACCCCCTCCCCTCTTAGAGCGCTACGTATGTTTGAACGACCCCGGTTTATACATGCGCAACATGGTAGCCGGTATCCGGCATTTTGCGTATACACTCACAAAATCATGGAGTATATGGAGTCGTAATGTAAGTGAGAGAGCTGGCGCCACTTTTAAGCATTTTCCAGGTCCCGAATTCCGAGACTCCTGTGTGACGCCGGGTCACTTTTTCGATACATAATCGATTGTTTTCGATAACGGGTACCCGGCCATCCAATGTAAACAAAGAAGATAGTAATCACGTATTCCAAACAGCCATTTTGGATCGAACATGTATCGAAAAAGTGGCCGAAGCTCGGCGTGCACGGGGTTCGGAACTCGTCGAGCAGAACCTGGCGTCAGCTCTCCCATCTACATTAGGCCTTGTCCACACGAGCGCAGTTCGCGGAACTTATTCCTCGAACTTGCTCAGTTCCCGGAACTTATTGCTTGAAACGAGGCATGCTTTCCACACGGGTTCGTCCGAACTGGAACCGGAACTTCAATAAAACTATACAATTATTGCAAAATAATAGATTATTATGACCGCCAAAGTAACAAAAATAAATATCAAGATCATATGTAAAGGACGTGAAAAACAAAAACAAGCAAATTCACATCAAAAGAAACATATTTAGAAGCTCGGAGCACGGGGGAAATTCCAGGTTTTGGAGGAATAAGTTTCAGCTCAGCAAAAAACTTGTTCCGGGAACAAGTTCCTCGAACTGAGTTCCGCGAACCGCGTTCGTGTGGACAAGGCCTTACGACTCTATGTACTCTATGCATGAAATGTACGTCTGAGTCACCTGCACGGCACGCAAAGTCTGTTTTTTTTTAAAAAAAAAATCCTAAGAGCTCTATATCTGTAAGGCCTAAGGTGGCTGAACCAACCAGAAATTGATTCTTCGAAGGTCAAACTCTTCCTCGAGGGCACTCTAAATTTGACCTACCGGACGGGGAAGATCTCGCAGACGAGCATCCAGGAGACATTTATAATGCCTAGGAATCCGACGAAATGAACGACAGCCAAGTCAACGATGAGGAGCCACGCGACGACCAGGTTCTCGGTGTGAGTGTAGAATGAGGCGAAGACTCCCAGGCACAGAATCGAGGCAGTAGCAACGAACATACACGAGAGACCCAGTTTTCGTTTCCCTGTGTATTGAATTATGAACATGGGCACCACCGAGCCGATGAAAGCTACCACTCCAGTCATGATCTACCGAGGAGAAAAGAATACAGAGTTATGAATCAAAGGCCTTCCCTAATTAGACCGCATTTTGCAATTTGGAACTATAAATTATGGCTCTCCTGGAAAAACACTTATGTGCATAGGGAAACTAATGGCATATACGTTGTTTTTAAATCGGGCTAGAATATATAGTTCCAAATTGCAAAATGTAGTCCGATTGGACTACATGTTGAAATGAGGAACTATAATTTCTGGCTCATATGTAAGAATACTTATTTGTACAGGGAAACTAATGCGTTGTTACTAAACTGAGCCAGAAATTGTAGTTCTGAGTTGCAAAATAGATGGTGAAACTAAAAAAAAGCGTATCTTGGTTTTGGTGCTTTAAAATCTCCGCTCCGGTTATATTTCTTAAGAGGAGACCGAACCAAGATCGTGGTTTGCAATTTTTACAGAATATGCATCACATAGAGATGAAAATGCACCTACGTTTTCAAGAAATGACGTTCAGTGGTTTTTTATATGTAAAGGATAAAGTATGACAGGAAGTCTGCAACGCCGCAAATCGATATTCACATTCCTGCAGTTTCACCATCGAAATGTATTCCAATTATTTGATCTTATATTTTTAAATAGGCGAAAGTCCAAGAAAGTAACTTTTTCAGGATAAACAACAAGTTCTCTGAAGTTCCGAACCCTGGTAAAAATTGGCGATAGGAGCTGCGTTTCAAAAATATCATAGGAGTTCTTATAGCCGACTAAAGAAGGCTATTGAAAATCATATAGCTGGCTGTAGAAAGCGGAGGAAACCATATAGCCGGGCTATACGAAGCTATAAAAAAGTATACGGTCGGGCTATAGTTCCTGTCACCGGGTTGTACACTTTGTCGCCATTGGCTATAAAAGGCTATAAGAAATTGTGCAGAAATTCGTGTGCTTTGGAAATCATTAAGTTTGATACGGAACTACCTTAATATTTACCAAACACACATTATATTTTCCTTTAAAACATATTTTTTTTCATCAATTAAAATGAGAATAATCCATACAGAGTGTGCAAACATTTCAAAATCATGAGTTGAAAAACGCTGACTCCGCCGAGATTAAATATTGGAGCCTAACACAAAGCGGAGCGGCGACGCACAGGCGCCTACAAACCTAACAGGGATACTTCACGCATTGCGCAATGCGTGAAGTATCCCTGTTAGGTTTGTAGGCGCCAATGCGCGTTTCGCACTCTCTGCCCGCCTGCCGCGCCGCGCCGCAGCGTGCCACGGCGTCTGAAGTAACTATTTCACACCAGAGGTATTGCACAGTATCATAAGAAATTGAAGGCGCTTCAACTTATTAAGAATGACAGGCAAAGTACGGAGCTTTCCTCGCAAAATACATCAAGATACTACGGCACAAAAAGAGAGCGGTAGTCCAAAAACTAACTAAGTTCTAGTATCCGTATTTTGTAACGTTTAGCATAAACGTTATCGTCTGGCTGTTGCTTAATCGCCATCGGCTATAAAAGGCTATAAGAAATTGTACAGCCGGCTACAGAAGCTATTGAAAATCTTACAGCCGGCTTTAGGTCTATGGTATTTTGGAACACAGATTCTACTGCCAATTTTTACCAGGGAAAGCCGAAGTAAGCCCTATTTCTAGGGTCATAGCAAGGAAGGAGGCAATTCCCGAAGTCAGGAAAAAAGTTGTAAGTTAACACTCATTTTGAACAGGTGTCTAGGAGGGAAAAGTAATTTTGAAATGGACCTCCGCCCTTCCGCCTCCGTTTTTTTCCTCTGCGCTTAAGGATAAAAAGGCGAAATCCCATTGTTTCTAATGTGGTATAACATGGCCCTAATGAAAGCTGAGTAACGGAAAAGTGCATTAGTCCAGGCCTTCCACTTTTTCTCCTCTGATAGGAGACCAACAATGCTGTAAAAAAAATTTTGAAACAATTTAGACTTTCGCTCTTTTAAAATGGTGGATTTAATTAAAAACAAATTAAGGAATCCATAAGGACATGATATGCTCTCCACTTTGCCATGAAAGGTTACTGCGAAAACAAGCTCAGTCTCATGAACCGTATGTAAGTGCCTATAGGTGCATGAACTCACCAAAATCCACTTGCGGTCGACAGGGAACCAGAAATTCTCCAGAATCCCGATCATGTAGGATCTGAAAGGGATGAGACACGCACATTGCGCCCAGAAGAAAGAGAACATTACAAATTTTAGAGGCATGTACAGCTTCGGATTTGTGATCTCCTTGTATCGAGTTTTCAGCCAACCATCGGAATCTTCCTCTACGTGCTTGCTTGTGTTGTCTAGAAAGCAAAAATAAAAGGAATAAAAACTTTAAATCGTAAGGTCCATTTAAAATAAACAGTCAAAAGAGACGTATATTGACCATAGCCCTGCTTCAGTTCATTGTGTTTTATTTGAAATCTAAATTTTTTATCAAAACTGAGTGTTAAATATCCATTATAGACTGATTCAGTGGCTATATCGCACCATTCGATAAATCGCCGTTACAGTTTGCATCTTCCAAACAATTATCTTAAAAAGCGCGGCAGATATTAAAACGGCTCATTAGTTCTCGGTGAAACAATCGAGTACATCGAATATGGAAATGACGTGCCTCATCATAAATCAGTCAATCGTAAAATAAAACAGCTTTTAAAAAAAGGATAAGTCCTTCCACCGTAATCGTTTTACAATCGTAGCATCACAGACAATTGGACGTATTTGTGCCAAACAGAACTATGTGCACTAAGATATGAGCCCTGAGACCCATAAGAATATATGCATAAATAGGGCTCACGTCATAATGCACATAGTTCCGTTTGGCAGAAATACGTCCAATTACACCGGATCCCACTTGTAGAACAGGTTCAATTCCGAGCCGCGTTAACAGATCATCAGATTATTTTTATATTGGCGCCGATGTGACGCTACACAAAACCAAGACATATTCGTCTCTATTCAAACAACCATTGAAGTATAACACTTCTCGAGTAAATAATCTACAAACTTAGCGTTTGTACGAGTCTTATCTCTTCTCGCCATAAAATTATACTGCCTGCAAAATAATCAAATGTAGCGGGTGCGAAGCACTCGATGAGGCTGTACTCGTCATGTTGTTATTTTTGAATTATCGGTGGTAGAGACTATATCTAATCTAAATTAAAATGTTTCATTGAACAGTTCTCACTTCACGCATAACGATACCGCGGCATGAGAAAAAAGAATGATAGCTTTAAATAAATTCATTTTGCTGTTTTGACGCCTAATATAAGTAATGAGTAAATAAACTGCTGCAGGCCGTTAATTAGACATATTAAATAGGCACTAGAAACAGGAACAAGTTGTTTGGAGTTTCTGTGCCTCCTAATTCCTATGGATTTAAGTTATTCCTAAATACATAGTTCTTTTTAACTGGTAAAAGTCTTTCAGTTTATTGTCAGTTTATCTCCTACAGATAATGAAGTCTAACACACTTTGTGCTTTGTCCTAAAATCAGCTGGTAGCGATGCTGAAAAAGTAAGTAGGTGTAAAAGTCTGCCTTACTTTTATTGTCGAGTGGAGCTTTTTCCTCTGGATTTCCTTGAGAGTTGCCCAACGCATACGACATCTTCGTGTATCTCACCAACTCGTCAAACTCATTTTGGACTTGATGAGGTTTAGCAAAACCCCTCAGCCAGGCCAGCGACTTTTGAGCGTCCTTCATGCGCCCTTTCGTGATCAGCCATACTGGCGATTCTGGGATCTGTGAATAATTAGAAGTATCCTTTTAAAACCGGTTCATTTTTCAAAGTCTTTTTTTTTCACTTTTCAGGACTGTCCTCGATTTTATTCAAATATAAATCCTCCCTCCCCCAATTTTTACTTTTAAGTTTCTATTTCATAAAAATTTGAATCTATGATGTAAGAAAAAATACATTTCTTACTCTTTTTCTCTATCGCTACAGCGCATTTTAAGTATTAGCCTCCATAACAATGCCCCGCCACTGCATCCTATCCTGTATCTTGGACTTTGAATACTCGTAGGTCTTCCTCAACATCTTCCATCCATCTGAGTCGAGGCCTTCTTCTTTTTATACTCAGCGATAGCTATACTTTCAATACTTTTTATTACTCTATATATATATCCTCTATGTATCCTCTATATATTACTTGCAAGGCATTACTAAAATTCATACAAGGGTGAGCGAAAAGTTTCCGATCTCCCGTTCAACTTTGCAACGTATTAATACGAAACTTTGAGTGTGCTTAGGTCAAAGAGAGCTACTTTTCAGCACATCCAAAATTGCCNGGGGGGGGGGGGGGGGGGGGTGCGCCTCCTCCCTGAAATGCTGGATTTGCCAAAAAGTAGCTCTCATTGACCAAGAGACATACCCAAAATTTCGTTTTGATGAGTGAATGCGTTCATAAATTAGACGGAGGGTCGGGAACTTTTCGCTCATTCTGTACATTAAAGCCGTTCTCATAAAGTGCTGTCTGGCGCTCTGCGATATACCTAGCCACCAAAGTCCCTACTCTTCCAAACCCTTTAGGGAGCTGAAAATTCCTCATTTATTGCAAAACCACATGTCGGCATCTTTTGATTGGGCGTCCCCTTCGTCTCCTATCAGGAGGAAAGGAACCCAACTAAGTATCTTTTTTGGCAGCTTTTCTTCTGTCACCCCGCTACCCTGCCCTAAATAGAGTACCTATAAACGGGAGAGTATTGCCATCTCTGTGCCCCTCTCTGATCGGTTCATCAGTTTTAGGCTATCATGGAGCTCCAAAGCTCGCCTAATGTAAACTAACCCAACCTAGAGGAACGCGTATTATCGGCTAAGAAATTACACTCTAAAGTTAATTTTCAGCAAAAATATCCACCAAAGTTCGATCAAAATTCAATTTAGAAGTTGAATATAAACAAATTTCTATCACCTCCAAAATCACGTCTAGAACTTTGTAGAACTTTGTCGCCATCTTGTTTGTTTACATTGGGCCAAACTAGGAGCGGAGGGGCTGGAGATTGTTTACATTGGGCCAACTTTGGGGCTCCATGATAGCCGACCAATCACAGAGCGGCACTCTTTTTCTGTAGTAAAAGGATTGAGATGACAGTAATCTAGCCCTATAATACCGAACATAAAATCCTGGATATCGAGCCTTACCGTGAAGAAGAGGACGAAGGAGAAGACCGGGACGAAGGAGCTGACGAGGGTGGAGGTGCGCCAGTCGAGCGAGGAGCCGATAGCGAGTTCAATGAGGACGCCGAGGTTGCAGGCTGCCGTGGTCATGGTGGTGAAGATACTCCTGAGCCGGGGCTCGCTGGTCTCACCGAGGTAAGCGGCGATGGGAGCCTCGCAGAAGCCCATGCCCAGACCCATCGTCAGAGTGGCCACGTAGAGCCCCCGCACGGAGGTGGCGCAGTAGAGCAGGACCCAGCCGCCGATGAACGGAATGTTGACCAGCATCATGCCGCCCTTCCGCCCGAACCGCTCCGACAGGAACCCCGAGATCAGCGAACCGATCGGGTGGCAGATGTACAGCGTGCTGCCTGGGAAAACACTTCTCAGTACACCGTTCAAAATCAAAGAGTGAACTCCGGTGCTGGATTATGTCGTTGGCAATTAGTCAAATCAGGGATTTTTTATCAAATGCCTGCAGCCTGATTGTTGAAATTCTGTATTTGTCGGTCGACATGGGTGACAAAGATGACAAAAGGCGGAGGACGATTGGTTTGCTATGTCGTATCGCTGCTTCATCGCGTCTTTGTCAGGTGGAATGGACGACATACTTTCGGAAACTTAAGAGGTACCGTTACCTTGTCGTGAGTTCAACCCGACATAGGCACGACAAAGCAGCGATAAGACATAGCTGACCAATCACGCTCCGCCTTTTAACCTATGTCATTTATGTATGTCGACCCGACAAACACAAAATTTCAACAATCAGGCTGCTGCGCAGATAGTCAAACCGTGGTAAAAATTGGCATTAGGATTTATGTTCCGAAATACTATAGACCGACAGCCGGCTGTAAGATTTCCTATGGCTTTTATAGCCGGCTGTACAATTTCTTACAGCCTTTTATAACCGATGACGATAAAGCTACAGCCAGGGGATAAACTGCATAAACCGGCGATAGGCACTACAACCGGCTGCATAATTTTTAATCGCTTCGTATAGCCCGGCTGTATGATTTTTTTTGCTTTCCACAGTCAGATATTTGATTTTCTATCGCCTTCTTTAGCCGGCTATGAGAATTCCTAAGTATGGTATTTTGAATCGCAGCTCCTTTTGCCAATTTTTACCAGGGAATTTTGATAGTTCAAGAAATTTTGCAAAAAAGTTCTCATAAAATCTGCGAACTCTCCTTGTTCCATCCTTTTCAAATGCTCGTCGTATATTCATACGTCAAAATTGTGAAAATTCTTTATCTTATCGTATGCTGTAAATTTCAGAATTAATGCTAGCTTTGGAGCTAAAAACCGTTTAAAATACTAGATATTTTACTATGCACATTTTTGCAGAGATTTCTTTCTGACCTGAGCAATGAATTATTTTGTATAAAATTAGCAAAATAATCAGAATCTTAAAGCTAAGTCAGAATATTCGACTATTTGCGTAGGCATTTGACAAAATGTCTGACTTTATCATTTGCTATGCGACCTTCATATCGCCTAAAACCTAAAAACTCTGGACATGAATGCGGAGTGAAATCAGCACCATAAAAGCGTATGACACTCCCCCAAAAAAGTAGATTCCGCTCCTCCTTAAAGTAAGTCACATTCTAAGGAGAATTCCGCTTTGCATTCATATCACTCGGGGTTTTTGGGCTCTAGCAGAGGCGGGTCCAGTAATTTGGCAACACCGGGTTTCCTCCATTTAAACCTATGCTAAATAATCGATCTCTGTCGGAGCACTTGGCCCCTCCAAGGTTCGATACATTTCCATAGGTTTAAATGGAGAGAAGGCAATGTTGCCAATTTGCTAGATCCGCCAATAGGCTCTAGGACTCCGGCATTGAATTTCACTCCAAAATATTTAACAGTGGACTCTGCTGCGCTAAGGAGAATAGCTGTTTGAGCCTTCACATGTTTCCAAATTTTCTCGGGCAAATCACGGACTCTAGGAAAAATTCCTCGACATTTCTCTCTCAATTTTTCATAGAATTATTTCGCTCGTAATTTGATCTAAAGTGCATGAACATGTTAAGGAAAAATGTTCATGACTTTTTTTAGGGAGGAATTTTTTTTAGAGAAACTTGGCAATATTTGAATGTTCTTACGACGTTTTTCTATAGCACGCCAGCAATTACCTCTATGAGGTGAATTTATATTACAATTCAACAAACATCAACGTACCCAAATAGCACAGTGCAACGAGAACATTGAAATGATTTTGCAATTTAATGCAATTAAAAATGAATTCAATTTTAAACTATACTCATATCTTATTAGTATTTGTTTACAAAAGCATTACCGATCCAAGAAGCGTCGGCATCATCCAAGTACATGGCATCATTGATCACAGCTTTGTTGTGAAGCGCTCCCAGAACAATCGTCGGCATCACGAACTGCATCCCCAGTGATATCAAGAAAATACATTGCACGCATGTTGCATAGAACTGAAACATAAACCTTTACTTTAACTCTACGCTTTTAAAGGAATTATTTTTTCCCCTTCTCACCAATGCTGTAATTCAGAATAAATTACGCTACATTTTATTGAAAATTCATATCGATGGCCAAATTTCAAAACCATGTTTCTTCCTTTACGACGCTGCAGACTTCCTATCATACTTCATTTTTCTTCGGAAAACTGGTCAATGTAATCGCTTGAAATCTTCCTTGACTTTTCTTCTCTGTCAGAGGAATATTCTACGTGTAAATTTCAAACTATAATGTTGGCATGATTCATAAAAAAAAATGAAATAGGAGTGGGAATTTTGAAACACCGCAAAGGAGATACGTGGTTTCGCTTTTTGGCCACCGATACAGGAAGAAGAGTGTCTCGATCGCAGAGTTTCAAAACTTCCTTTGGATTGATGAACTTAATCGGTATCACTCTACAATTACATCAGACATCGTCCAGTTTCCTTTCATGTTTTATTTTTTTTTATTAAAAAACCAAGTGACACTGAAACTTGAAATTTTAAGAGTATAATCTTTATAATCGGAGGTAAATTCACAAACATACCAAAGGCCGAAAGGGTCTGGGCAACTACTAACTATACATCACATGATTTACATGTTCACATAACAGGCTAAATAGAGTTGGGAACAAGGTACATACCTGAGATAGAGTTGACTTGCATCTATCAACCTCGTCACCCGGGTAACCGAGGAACGATTTTTCAACCGGCTGACGTTTCCCGTTCCCGCTCATCCTGGAGCTGGAAAATCAAAATTTTCCACGTATTAGAGAATTAAAAATCTGCCTCAGAACACCAACATTTCAATTTTTGGAAAGAGGGTAAACTTTCACCATTCGGAGACATCTCGTTCAACAAACTGATACGAACATTAACCGATAATTTCTTGTATTATCACAAAACTCACGTTTCATATTTGTTTAAAACTCAAAGATTGGTTCTTATCTTGGAATGGATTCGGTCAATCGATACTTTTTAAAAGATGGATTCAATTCACGCAGGCATAATCAAATCGAAAAGTACTTTGCAGCCTCGTGTAAGTTTGAACTTTGCAAAATTGCGACTAGAGGGATCTCGAGATCTACGAAAGGGACGTTGTTCGTTCACGAGATCATTTGAACCATATTGCCAGATTGATATAGATTTTTTTAAAATTTAAAGTGGACTTTTGGAGGCGATACGAACAATTTTATAGTCGAGAATCATCAAAATTTCCACTAAAACACCCGATTTTAAAATATTTGTTTGTTATTAAGGTGTTGATATGAAAAATTTAACCATGAAATCGTTTACAACAGCCTTAGAACCACGGCCGCAGTGCGTGTCACAAATCGTTATTCATGGCTTTTTACTCGCAAGATTCATCTACTACAAATCGTAACTTCAGAGTTGTTGAGAAACAATGTCTTCATCAATTTTCCCATCAAGATGCCCATAACTATAAGTTAAACTAAACTATATTTTAAGTTCGAAAGTTTTTATGGATGGAAAATCTTAAATCTATTAATCAGTATACCCAGGTATTGCGGCGCAGTGGCAACACGCTGAGTTAAAATCTGTGCAGCCACTTTGAGATGTTACATTGCTACATTAAGGAGATTGTTTTCAAAATCATTGGCAACACTGAAATAAATTATCCTGGCTTTTGCCTTCTAAGAGGCAGGAGTTAAATTGGTCCAATTCCGGTCACGCTACCAATACTATTCAATTTGAATCCATTTGTGTCGTCAATTGGACTGTGCGTAAGTCTAAGAAGTCTGTTGGATGCGACTGTCTTTTTCAAGTTTTGAAGAAAGAAGAGCAGATCAGAATATAATTACAACGCATTCCTCTCTGTGATTTTGTAATCCAGTTTCCATTCTAAGTAAAAATTGCTTCTTTTGAACCATATTCGACCGTGCTTGAAATTTCAAGTATTCATTTAATCTATAGTCAATGGGCGTCTTTCCAATTTTTCACTATAATGCAAGCCAGTAGATATGCTGCCATGTTATTACTTCCAATCGGAATCCCAACTTGATTTGATAATTTTAAATTTGAAAATTTGACGACTTGTCCATGCTATTATTTTACGAAAGTTAATCCTAACGTGGCTAATTAAGCACGTATGAAGTGGCATCTGGTGTTGCGAGAAAACCAGACATGTTTTTTGCGGTCAATTTTTCAACCAAGGGAGTTCATTCCCACTCAAATGACTCAAAATCTCCCTTAAAAAATTCATTTTCTTTACAATTTTCTCGAACCTGTGACTTTGGGGCCTTATAAAGAAATGTGTGACCGCAGGTTCTCCTCTCTCGTCATGAAATTTTTTGCGCAGTACGTTTTTGGTTCGGGTCAATATAATGACAGCTCTTTACCGAACAAAATCAAGAGTGGTATCAAAATTTGTTCAAAATTTAAATTTGAGTGTGTCGGAGGCAATGAAATTAGGTCACATCATCATTGGAACCACAATGCCGCCTGCCGCCTCTCAGTTCTAAGGAGCTGTTCCAAGAATGGATTACTTCTAACAACCTGATGACTCCATTGAAAATGTATATCCCGTGTTGTAAAAGTTAATCTCTACTTCAAAATTGAAAAGTGGTACATTTGTAAAGTGATCATTGACATTAATGCACTGTTGCAATATTTCAAAGCAAAATTTTGGATTCAGGAAATTATTAAAGCACTTATTCCTGAATGAAGTAAAAGGGAAGGAGGCTCGTAGAAAAAAAAAAAAAATATTTGAATAATCGTAATTAATCGTGAAAATTTCATCGTATTTTAAAAAATTGTATTTTAAAAAATTGACCAGTTGGTCGCAAAATGGAACCCAGAGATTACAGTGGTTGATCCCTCGGTACAGCTTGTAAATTCTGATTATTACAATTTTTTTCTGAAAGTAACGCAATAAATAAAACCCACATGGTTATTATGTGATTCAGTTGACATCTTATATTGTTCTAAGGTGTGCAAAGTAAAACTTTTTAAAATTTTGGGGTTCTCTCGGAACATACAAAATTGCAGTGTTGCGATACAATTGACGCCGTTTTAGGTAAACGGCGCAGTTCATTTTACGGGTAATAAAGAAAATACTATGAAATACTGGTAATGTAAGGGTCCAAATTAGTCACGTGTACGTAACAATGCTACAAAGTTGAAAGAATTGAATTTATAGTTTTTTATATTTTAATTCTCATGAAAGAATATCTCTGAAACTTCTTGAAAAAGGCGGCGGCGGGAGAGGTGTCGGCTGTACGTTACATTATTCATGCAGATAATTTCCAGATGGCGTTGCAAGAAGAAAAAAGCTTTAAAAAAAGGAAAGGTCAATTGATTTATATAACTACGGCTAAGGTAGAAAAATGCGTAACTCTACTGCAAAGCAACAAAATCTCTGCCCATGACTCAACTTTTTATGAGTAAATCAACCTCAAATATATCTTTCAAATTCTTCTTAAAACTTTTGAATAAGATGTCGTCCTTTAATGACCATAGGGTATGTTTCGGTAATTTTTCGACCCCATCTTCCCCTGCTCCCTACGCCTTCCCCTTGCTATGTCTCCCCCCTCCCCCCAAATAACCCTCTACATGAAGCCGTATTTGGCAAGCAGATCTTATGACCTTCCTTCCACCCCTCTGTAATACGTAGCTTCAACTTATTCCATATGGATGGCCCCTAAGTGAAGAAACCTCACAGAAAATTTCAAGGTAAATTCGCGATAGGTTTCCTTTTAAAGAAATCAATCTTGAGAGGATTACTACCGCGGTTTTGGAGTTACGCATTATTAGACTTATACCATCGATTTTAAAAAGAATTTTACAAAGCATTGAACTCTTGACCAGAGTTCCATTGCTGCAGGTTCGTCAAAGGATCTCTATTCATAAAAGGAATGTCGACTAAACGCGTACGGATACTGGAGCACAGGATGAGTTGTGCGTTTGTCCTCATATAATTATCGAAAAAAAAAAATCCCTCCACAGGAACATTCAAAGAAAAGTGAAATAAATGTGTTCAATGAAGGCAAAGTTACCTGTGAACATCAGCGCAGCGGTCCACGTGAGGGTGGAAGCGTTCGTCAGGACTGAGAGGAGTTGGTCGGTGATGACAGCTGAGCAATCATCCGCGACGTAAGGCTAAGTCAAGTGGCTATACAATTTGATAACATATATCCAAGACAATGGCACCGAATTTTTTTCGCTCTACTCGAATCTTGCAAACACGAGTTATCTACAGGAATGATGGGTACTCGAGATTAAGCGGCTATTAAACTAATTGCATTGGAGCACTCTGCATGTTGACTCTGACTCCCGGAAGCATGAAGGAACCATCCGAATGCAAACTTGCAAATATGGCAATTAATCATGTATCTTCCGGCTCCGAGGGAGTCGCCAGTTTCTGATTACTGAGTGTAAGCTCAAATTGTCATACGTGTATGAAACTATTAATAGATAGTTCATGTGAAAAAGAGAGAGGGAGACAATAGAAAAAAAATCTGTCACATGAATCGCGGTGCACACTTCATTATATCAACCGTGAGCACCGTGACCAATAGGTTCACCGAACCTAGCATCTAGTCTACATAATCGTGCTCTCAAATGTTTCAAAGTGAAGGAAAAGTTTTGCTGCGTGCAACCGAACTTTAGAGGGGGTTTGGATACCTTAACGTATGACTGGAATAATTTCTCTCCTAAAAGTAAAATTTAATAGCTTCTAATTTAAACAAATATCTGATTATACTCTTCATAGATTTTCAATAAAACCTAAGCACAGTCATGTGAATAAAAATTGTCAAGTTTTTTTTGGAAATCAAGTCTGAGGAGCAGGACTGTATCGACGTTAAGGTGCAGTCGAGAAAAGATGGTTTGGATTTGAAATAATTTCTGCAATAAACATAATTTTCAACCCTTATTTTTAAAAACATGTGCACGTTTTTTAAAGTCTGAATTTAGATTAAATAATTATATGAATAACTGAGTTCATAATTATTATCTCTGGGTTCTCTCTGAGATGTACGTTCCTTCCTTTTAGTTGAACTTGGTCTAAAGTCCAATTCAAACGGTTCAATTTTTATCCAATCCATCCTAATGAACGAGACAAATCAAAGCGTCGCAGCATCTTTTGGGCATAGTTTTTGAGTCACGGATCATGTCTATCACATTAGGATGTCAAAAATGAAGCAGAAAAGATACTCAAATGTCACGCCTCGGTACAGCTCAGCCCGCCTCGCCGCCGCGCGACGTCACGGGTTAAGCAGTAAGAGCATTGAAATTGAAAACGCCTTCAATTCCGGGTGAATGCAACACGGACATCCACGCTGCCCTAATAGTTGCATCCAGGCGCTATAATGAAATTCGTTGAGTGTTTGTCACATGCGAACTAAATAAGGGTGCTTTACTTGTTTCTCCTCCTCCTACATACCTTAACTTGATTCCAGCGTTGCCTGTTATGCCAATGAATTAAACTATTACTACTTTTTATCTCAAAATCATGCTACCAAAGCGCAATGAAACTTCACGGCGAATTGGAACAAAAGACAGCTCCAGAGTAGCATCAGATTCTACTTTTTAGACATTGTCAATTTTTGAATTTTCTCACGTGGAGTCTAGACCCGCAGTCTCTCCGTTACTTGAAGTTTTCTTTCTGAAATATTGTACTCATGCAACACCACTGTAATTTCACGTCTATATCTATATCATAGGGGTGGTTAGAAAAGCCATTCATTCTGGACTCTCTAGAATAATGATGAATCGAACATAAAGAAGATTCATTTGTGAGACAATTTTTTTAATTTTCATCAACATTTCATTTTATTTACAAATATCTACAAACTTTAGGTCGATGCTATTTTAAAATTAACAATTAATATAGTGCTTTACATAAAATCATGAAAACTATTTCTGCTTATGTACATGATACGTAATGCATGAAGTACATTGTAAAAAACTACATCTCACTCGCTAGAATGAAACAAAATATGTTGAATTATTGGACCATTCCTCTCTGAAATTGACACACGGACATTAATCCAACAACGAGGATATGTAAAATTTTACAATAGGTGCACGTAAGAGCGGCTTTCTTCAAAAAGCCACTGCTGTTTTGAAAGACTGGAACTATTCTGTGCGCCAATGATTTTGTGCTTTATGCGTTTTCAGATTCGGGCTTCCACAAAAAATCAAGTCATCTATTAATTATTTCCCTCAAGTTATTGTGTTTCGGCTGTGCAATTTATTGTGCCAAATGTCATGAATTTACCGGATATTGATAAACAATAACTACTAGATAAGCCCGCTCCCTTTGATTTTCTTTATTATTAGCTAGCTTTCAATAATGTTGGAAAACATATTAAATTTTAATCTTTCTTTTATCATAGTTTATTCCAGTGATGCGCTGGGTCGATTTCCAGGATTTGCGCGTCCCTCAGTACATGATAGTCTCTATATGAGTCCGTTTTCATTAAATGTTTAAAACATTAGATAGGAAGCGGCCTTTTAAGGACTCCCATTAGATTTGGGTCGCGTGACGGCCTGGAGACGACCCCCCTCCTCCCACACTCAGCAAAGGTTGATCAACACTATTTGCAACACTATTTGTTTTTGGAGTAAATTAGATTGGATGAAAGAGAGGATACAGGGAAAAACACGAAATAAACGATTCACTCGGTATTGGCATGCCTGATCATGATCAACTAATGTTACAAACAGTTTCAAGTATCAAAATGTTTGAGTTTCAAGTATGTTCGGTATAACAGCACAAAGAAGAGTAATTATCAAGGTCGCCCAATTTGAGAATTATTTAGATAAAGTATGTTGAATATTGTCGAATAAATCAATAGCGACATTCAACTGTTCATCAGTGGCGTTTTGTGCATTGCAATTAATCGATTAAACTTCCATTTAAACCTATGGAAAAGAATCGATTATCAGGCTGTTCACGCAAAACACCTTAATGGTCGATTCTTTACCACGGATTCAAATTGGATAACATAGATAGCCGATCATTCAAGCTTCGCCGTCGCTGTTCATGGGACAGTAGAAGAATATTTTGCATATAACCTAGGGACCGCATTGAAATTTAAATTCGAAAGTTCATTGTCAGCTTCTAAATTTGAGAGTGTACAAAAAAGATAAAAGTATACAGCCAAGGCTCAGAGTGGCCGTGTAGTTAGAGGATTGATAAAGTGATTCTGCACCACTGATTGCGCCTGCAATACCCGAACTGGAACCTCCAAGGGACGCTGTCGATGAGTCTTCGTCATCTGCAACAATTTGAAATTTCGCACTTAACTTTTGTGGAAAAATATCGCTAAAAATAACGGAGATGCAAGATATTCGGTTTGATAAAATTATGAAGGCAAACTTTTCGTCTTGGATGTGGTTGAAACTCTGAAGGGCGCACCGTATGTGCTACCTGTGATACTACAAAAACACATATCGACGGTGCAAGTCGGCAATCACATAACTCGTTTGCGGTGTCTGAAAATCTCCGCGTCGATGTTATTTTTTTAAAGGAGAACTAATTGACATCCTTCCTTGAAGTTTTTGCAGAATTTTCTTCGCACAATGAAGAAAAATCATAGCAGTTTTAAAGAATTGCCGTTGAATAGTTTTCCATGTAAAAAATAAAGTATGACAGGAAGTCTGCGACGTCGCAAACCGAGTTATGTGATTGCCGACTTTCACCGTCGATATCTCTTTTGAGGTGATTCAAAATCTTCGCTCCTATTTAGGCAAGCTCATCTTTACTATCGAAACTACGTATTCAGCACTGGGAACTTCGGACCATTAGGTTTGGACAGACATTTTATGGAGCTTTCGTCCCAACTCTCGACCTTCATCACCATATCGCCGATGAAACTAGGTACCAGACCCCGTATATCTCAGTTTGTGAAGTTGCAGACTTTCTGTCATAACCTTATTTTTTTAAATGGAAAACTGCTCAACGTTACTTCTTGTAAACTTCCGTGATTTTTACTCGCAAAGCGAAGAAAACTCAGTGAAAACTTCAAGGAATGATTTGATTCACCCTCCTTTCAAAAAATGATATGAGAGCAGATATCTTTAAACACCGCAAACGAGATACAAAGTTTGGGAGTTTCGCCGTCAAAATGTAGGCTTCTTTACCGCCTGCCACGCCCTGCAAATATGTGAATAGTTGATTTTGAAAGTCGGCAAATATTTTGGTCTTAATACGTAAGCACGTATTTGGGGAAACCCATACCAATAAAAAAACCATAATTTTTGAGACTAGATCCGTGAAGTGGCAGGGATTTCACATTATACTGCTCGGTATGTTTGGTGCGCATTTATGGTGAGATGAATGTATTTGTATTCCAACGTTTCAAGCACTCCCGGTAAATATAAATGTCACGGCACACTATGGCAATAGTCACTACTGGCCAAGCTGATAAAGTTAGGGCGGCTGGGCATTGGTGATATGGTTTTGTTCCCAGGATTTTTCCAATAAATATACCAACGTTTTATGTTTCACTCACCAATCTTTTTGATGGTATTTTCATCGTCGAAAGCTGGGGTGCTCGCTGCGGTTGTCGAAGGAGCCGGAATTTCTGAAAGAAAACGAAAATGATTTTACATGGTTTTCACATGAAATCGAGAAAAATGGAATTGAGAACCGATTTCCCCCAAATGTCATAATATTTATAGCAACTTTCAGAGCACTGAAATGGCTGTTTGATTGAAAACATTCAGACTACGGACTTTTCCGTCTCATTGCGAAGTTATTTCATTCTACCTCAGTTTACATGTGACATGCCAGAAAACTTAAATCCATATGCAGAATTAAAGGCTTAAGGAGAGCTTTCTTGCTCGTCATGCTGGCTGAAATAAGGAAAAAACGGATCTTCAACAAAAGGAGCTGTTCCTTTTTCTTTCGATTTTTAGTAGCTTTTTTTTCAAATTCAATTTCTCTTCATTATGATTTACGTACAAGAAAAATCAGAGTTCAGAGACTGTTACCGGGTAACAGTGTTACCCTACACATTGTTTACAAAATTCCGTAGATGTGTGAGTAAATGTTCGAAGAACTCTTCATCTTACCTTCCAATTTTATTTGTCCACCAGTTTCCCCAAGGGAATTCTTGGCGACGCACTGGTAAGAGCCAAAATCGGTCCTGTTAACTTTGCGAATTTTCAGGAACATGTGCCGTTTGTAGTCTTTGTCCTCTCCGTGCTTCGTGTACGCCTCATACTTCTCACCTAAAACAGACATGCCTACATTTCATTAAACCTGTCACCATGCACTTAAGAGAGAGAAGAAAATTAGTTGGGTTTTAAGAAATTTTTAACATTTAAAATAACAATAATTCCAACAACTTGTGCAAAAACTTCAAAATCATAAGTTGAAAACCGCCGACGCCGCGCTGCAAGTTTGAATAATCGCATCAAAGACAGTGTGGCCGGCACGGGGCTGACGTGCACGGCGCGAACCATATAGTAGCGCCTTATAAGACCGCAGGATACTTCATGCATTGCGCGTACGGCACGGTGCGCGCGACGCATAGTGTAGCGCCTTACAAGTCTGCAGGATACTTCATGCATTGTATGTTTACCACGGTGCGCGCTCAAGTGTTGAAAGTCCTATCTTCCTGGTGTCAAACCTACCCCGATGTACATCATTTCTGAACAGTGCACACCGCAAGCTTGCAATCCTAAGATCACAGGATTGTAGAGATTTTGCAATCCTGTATGCTTTCCGATGAAAGTATAATTAATCGTTCCGAAAAATTCCCGAAAACTCTTCAAAAAAAAAAAAAAAACTGTGCATGTATTTTAAAAAAACTCTGAAATAAAATTAAAAAAGAGAAGCGGCGCGTAACGTTGACATCGAAGATAATTAGGTTTTTTTCCTTGTGCATCCGTCGGCATTTGAATTCGTTAATCTCTTTAATAACTTGAACATGGTTGTTCTACGATGTTTTGCGTGTAGTTTTCTCCCAGTGATTGGCAACCGCGTAGCGGCCACAGTTAAAACTCATCTAATTTTCGCAGATAGCTTTGATTTTGATTACGAACCATTCAAAGTTGAGAATTGTATAACGACACACTAATCAGGCTCGATCAAAGATAAAGAAGAGTCTATGAAAAGAAAAAACTTTGTGTCTTTCTTAACGTTAGTATAAATAAGATCTTTTTTATTTAGGATAGTGTTCCATTATTTTATTTTTTTTGCCAATGTCTCTACGATTTAGCGAAACCAATTCAGTGTATATAAAAGTAAAAGGCAAACTATTGAGATTTAAACTCGAGGCTTCTGCTACATGCTTAGACTTATGCAGAGCTTAAATGAAGTATTTTTTAGGCTACCTCCTCGCGTTAGTACACGGTAATATGGACCCCTTAATTAGCATAAAGGTATTTTTTTCTCAGTCATATTTGTCTTGCCTAAGGTGATATTTACCAGAAAGGAAAAGTAAAAGGCAAACTATTGAGATTTAAACTCGAGGCTTCTGCTACATGCTTAGACTTATCTAAAATGAAGTATTTTTTTAGGCTACCTCCTCGCGTTAGTACACGGTAATATGGACCCCTTAATTAGCATAAAGGTATTTTTTTCTCAGTCATGTTTGTCTTGCCTAAGGTGATATTTACCAGAAAGGATCATGTCTCCTCTTTCGGTTGTCCAGTAGTTGATTGATGTGGGGTACGCCTCAGTGTGGCACTCCAAAGAAACGTCCTGGCCGATATATGCCGCCTCAAGCTGGTTTGGAATGGTCAATTCTGGTGGAACTAGAAGAGAGAAATGATTGACTTCAGAGGATTAGGATAAGAAAATACTTTATTTAAAATTCGCATGCAAAAAATGGGAGTTAAAAACAGTCATTGGTGCATTGATGAATGGTTGCCAAAATTTTTCCGAAACTTGCTCATTTTCAGCAATCGAGGAGGATCGAAGGCACAACAGTAATGTTTTACGGAATTGGTCTGGACTTGCACGGGATTATGATCAATCGTTGAGAATCAACCAATGACCCCCCTTCTCAGCTCTCAGTTAAACTGCAAGAGCACTTGACAATGGCATTTCAGCGATTGAGAATCATTTTCATCCATTTCATCATTTTCATCCATTTTCATATTTAGCCTTGGTTCTATTTACAGGATAAAGTTGACTATTCGAAAATATTGTCTAATAAAATGAAACGCTCGGCAGCTCAAACTCTTGTATCATGTCTCTTATAATGGAGGAAGGGAGAGCGCGGTAAAATTTTCAGTAAGAATTTAGAAACAAACATACGAACTTTCTATCACTATGGTAATATATGCTTTCGGGGTATAACTCAGGGTGTCGTCTAGTATTTTATTCCATTGATCTGCCAGTAGGTAATAATTGGTTTATTGAGAAAACGTTGATTATTATCTTACATTGTCCCTAAAAATAGTTAGTTAGTTATTATAATTTTAAGACATTCAGCGTCTCAGGCTATTAACGTCTTTACAGATAATTTTGAACATGGGAGTATAAACGAAAATTTAGATTTTTAAATTAAGNTCAATGATATTCGACTTCTTCGTTGGTCTCACCAGAGACCGTTGAAATCCATCAATTTGAAATTTCGAATTCACCTCGGGACTTGAATTCGATTTTTGAATTGATGCAATCGATGTCAGAAACTTCATCTCTCACCAAAATTTTTGTTCTGTCATCTCTTTCTGTTGTTGTGTTTTGTCAATTCAAGTCTGGTATTTTCGCAATTTCTGTGTTTTAGTGTTTCGTGTTTTCTTAATTTCTTCTTAATTTCATTTGGGAAAAAAATCTGAGCTCTGATTGGCTCCTGACATCACCGATCATCGGCATCACTCAGCACTGATCAATTCGTTTGATGAATGACATTCGATCGCGAAAATTCGCTTTATAATTGGTTTATTGAGAAAACGTTGATTATTATCTTACATTGTCCCTAAAAATAAAGCTCCCTCTAGTGGGGTGTGAATATACTTACATTGCACCCTGAGCGAAACCTGCTTGCTTATAGACGGCTCAACACCATTCGAAGCGATGCATAGGTATATTCCCATATGGAGCCGACTCACCTTGCTGATGTGCAAAGTCTCTCCATCCACCACATTCACTGGAAACGCAAGAGAGAAGGTAAATAATAATGAATTCTATATTAACGTATCCATTAATCATCTCACCCTTTGATACTTTTAAAATAATTATTTTTTACATTTTTGTCCGTAGTTTTACGTTTTTCTTTCCCCTTGCAAGACAGCTGAGAACCATCACTTCATTGAAATTCCTTAAGGAATGGGTGTTGTTGACACGTGCCCATTTACTTCGATACCTTTTCACGAAATAAGATCTTTCAAAGTTATGCTATTCTACAGTGCTTGCAAAAAGGATTCGGTATTTCTCGTTGAAGTATTCCTCAGTAAAATTGTTTACTTTTATTTGACATTTTCTTAACATTAATTTTATCTTACCCAACTCAATAAAGTGCGATGTGACTTGAAGAGATTTTAGATAAATGTGCATAACATCACTCATTGATGGTTGATAACTCTTAACTATCGAGCAGTTTTTGAAAGTTGAGTTTCAAATTCAGTGGGGCGCGGGCCATTGGACTACATTTTGCAATAAGAAACTCACTACTCAGGTAGAATCCGGAGAACTTCCAGCCGGATTTCGGCCCTGCAGTTTATCACTTGAAACTAGGAGCTGAAATAAATCACACTCGACGACGAGACGGAGTGCAGACAGGGTGAGTGGTGAGAGGGAAGGTTGCAGGAGGGGGTGCAGGGGAGGGTGAATAAAAATGATACTATTTGTTACCGTTTTGTCCGTTGAAATTGATATTAACTCCATCCTCCCTCCTCCACATGACGTAGGGCTCGGGGTACCCGGCCGCCTTGCATGTCAGCGTAACATTAGCCGCTTCTCTCACCACCATGTCCGTGCTTGTATCTCTATCCACGATACTCGGAGGAACTGTGGGAGAAAATCGGAGGACTTGTGATTTTGTGTCATCTCTGATGTGGTTGCTACTACGAACGGTTAGTTACAATAGTTTGAGTACCTTCATGAAGAAAGCATGACCAAGGGGCCGAGTGTTAAAATTGATAGACAAAGCTATAGACAAAGAGGATAAAAGGGGTATGGAGGGATCCAATCGGTGAAAGTAGAGTACCTTTATAGACAGAGTATGGCCATTTCTGTTCCGGTTTTTCATTGGTCGCGAGCGAATAGGCTGACACGATGCTCTTAGGGCCGTAAATAAACAAACAAGATGGCTGTTATCAGCAAGCAAGATTGAGGTTATGCACATCTTACATCCTCCTGTGATAAAGGTGAAAGGCGATTTAACAATGTTTTCGTGTGTTATTCTTAGATATGCTAGTTTAAATTGTTACTGCCGTATAATTGAAATTTGTGTCAAAGTTAGCTTTTTATCGATGTTACGGTGAGCCGCCATCTTGTCTGTTTATTTACGGCCCTAAGAGTATCATGAAGCCTAAAAACTCGTTGACCAATCAAAAAGCGGAACGGTTTTCCTGTAGTAAAAAGATAGGAATGGCCATACTCTGTCTATAAAGGTACTCTAGGTGAAAGCGGGTGGTTGCAATGGACAATGGATGTAGGTAATAGACAACGGTAACCCATGAGAGACCCGATAGCTAGTCCATCATTTTCTCCCTTGCTCTATAAGAACCACCTGTTTCAACCAATAGGATCACTCCAAACTCCCTATGTCTTCTTTGTCTATAGCTAAGTCGATCAATTTCAATAATCAACCCGCAGGGCCAAATTAGCCGGGGTGTAGGGCCCCTGACCCCACGGGCCCTTCGGGCGATTTTTTTGTTTTATTACCACTAATTCTAATTTTATATCTCGGTGAGAAGTCCGACCAGCTCCTTCAGGGGTCCTTGGAGAGAGAGGCCCTAAGACTGGAATTTTAGGCGCCATGTTGCCCCTAAATACCAAAACTTAGGGGCAGCAATCCTAAGATTAGGGGCTCCTTATGACCGGTATTGAAAGTTCTGTGAACTTATAAAATCAGCGTTTTGTGGGCACTCAAAAAGACGATTCTCATGGAACCTTCGGCTCTGATCTCAGCAGTGCTGAAGCCCAAAATAGGAATGTTTTGGTGGGCTTCTAAGAGCTAGTCTCTTGGGGGCCTTTAAATTTAAAGTATGGATGTGGAGTGGCCTTGAGACAAAGTTCTGGGGATCATGGAGCGCTTGAAACCCCAAGACTAGGATTTCAAGTGACTCATCAACTGCGAGCGCGTTTTTTCCAAATTAAAAATAATTCAAAATCCACTCCGAGCAACCATTTTAAAAGATCTTCTTGATGCCCAACTTCTGATACTCGAAACAGACTGTCCACCTGGCGTAGAAAAAAAAATATCGATCGGATTGCTGTTTCTTTAGAAAAATTCAAGAGGTCCCTGCTTCTTTAGATACCTAAGTATAGTTAATTTTCATATCATTAAATGACACATTAGATCCCTAATTCCAGTTTAATTTTGATATATTCACTGACCTAAACTAAAATGACGGCAGGAGGCTGGGCCGAAGGAAAGGTCGTAGCCGTAAATTAATCTTTTATGTTTTTTCGGAAAGATGAACATTGAACCGCCTTCAATTTAGCGAGTATGCAGACCGCCAATGTGTGTGCCTTGTACCCATCAAAACTCCGCGCCCCTAAAAGCTGATACACCCCTGATGGTCACTGAAGGATCCATTTCTAACTGGTTCAGCCATTTTAGGCATAATGGAGTTATAGGGGGGGCATTGAATGCATCTGGTGGTATAATTTTAAACCTCTCTCATACATCTTTATGCCTGAGTTCATATCTCGAATAAACTTCGTGTTACTGTCATTGGAATCCGTGTGATCTGTATTCAGAGATGAGGAGGAATATTATCCCTCAATATAGTTGGTTATTTTATTCGATCAAAACACGTGAGAGCGCTATCCGAACATTTTCGAAAAAGTGAGAGAGAAATGGTAAAAATGGAAAGTGGAGGTAAATTCAACAAGAACACAGATTTTATCTCTGACGAGAGTACAGGCAGCGGTTGGAAGTACAAATAGATTAAAGTGGAAGCCAACTGAAATAACTTCATGAAGAGTGACTGAATTTGTCGTGTATGATGGTAATGGAAACTAACGGCTCTCAAACATGTGGGCCGGAGAAAAATGCAGCACAATCGTTTCATTTATCTCTGCACACCTGATGAAAAACCGAGGACACTCACAACTCGAGTGGTTTCGTCGGGTTTTTAGAGGGTGAGTAAAAAGGGTGGCTGGGCAAAAAGGGTGGGGCAAATTCAAAATGTCACGTGAGATGAAGGGGCAGTCAACACCATGACAGCGCGGACTCTGTTGGTAGACTGGGCACTGTTATATGTTATACTTATTTAAAAGAAAACGTTTTAGGGAACCGACATTTTTTGAATTGACACTATATCATGACGAAACAAGGAGAGGCAATTTTTCATTTTAATCACTTTAACTGTTACCAACATACCGTAGGAACACTCGTAAAATTCTATAAAAAAAAAAAAAAAACATCTGGATTCATTGTGTGCTTCCAATCGTCATTTCTCACCTTAATACTATCAAAATTAATAATCAGGCAGCAGTCCCAGAATTTTTTGAGACTTTAAAAGTAAAAATTTGAATTTATTCCCTTTTCTCGTGATTTCCATGATTTATGTTCGTCCCGTTCCTTGACCCTTCAAAACCAAAGGTCTGTTTTCCATTACTCCTAAAATGTATGCGCCTTTCCTCTCATTACTCCAATTGATTGTTTTATAAATCGCATTCTGGTGCCTTAATGCCAATAGTTGCATCGAAACATTAAAAATGAAGCACTACCATATCAAATAATGACAACAAATTTCATAACTTCACGGAAGGACTGCAAAGTGGTAGAGAGTATAATTAAAGTAGAATAATATGTCATTAGCATTGCGTTTTATTATCTACATAATATATAGTAGTGATAGGCAGTTTCACGATTTTTATTGTGCCTACAAAGGTCTAGTCTTTTGACCTTCACACGCGTGAAAAAAGATAAAAAATAAAAGACAAAATAAATAATAATATTACGAATTTAAAGTTTAATTTTTGGTGTCACACTCGGGGCAAAAAACGACTCTAAAATCTTGTCTTTACCGCAGGAATTATGGCTCAATCGTCATCAAAACTTGTAACTGATGATTTTGATTAGGTTCATCTATGTTTCCTCTCATTCAATCTCCTCTAAAGTTAGAAAATGAACGGCGGCCTTCTTCCTCTGGTTGCATGAGTTGGCAACATTGAACATTCGCGACCATCGAGAGTGATTTGGTCTGTTGAGTGACGATTTGTGCTTAGGTGAATATTTCAAAGCGTGATAATTTTGAATAATCTTTAATTCACTTTCCGGCCGGAATAATTACTTTACGTCGCCATCCTCATCTCTACTAACCGTGTTATCGTCCTCTATAGTAAGCAATTTTATTCCAATCACTGTTAAAGATGTTCTGCCAGAAATATGTAGCTCCTTTGAACATAATAACAATATCTGTGCATTGCTCTACGTTATTTGTGTAAGTCGATTTTTGTGATATCCATCACCGTGGGCGATTGTCTTAAATCAAGTAGAAAAATTGACTTAGACAACGGTCTCTGAAAATTCCGATCACATCGAATTCTACCTGGCAATGTCAGGAGGCATGACTCTTGAAGCAATAGGTGAATTTTCGCGACTGGAGTCGGTTCAATTTTTTGATGGATGACTGTTGTACCACCGTTGGAATGTGAACCAATCGGAAAGAAGTGTATAATTTTCGACCAAATCCTGAAGAAAATGAACTAAATCCCGAATTACGTTAAAAAAAGAGCACTAATCAGTCAGAGTAACATGAAGTAAAAATATACAGGTGCAAAAACACACAGTTCGGGTTCTCTGAAATATGCGAAACCACGTGCCTCCATCGCGAGGTCCTATTTTGGTTTTTTTTTTTTTTTTCAAGAGGAGCACTTAAATTTATAACTTGAACATACAGAATATTTTGCTAGCGGACACGAAAAAATCAAGCTAGTTTTCATGAAATTACAATGACTGTTTTTTTTTTTTAAAAAAAGAAAGAAAAACAGGAAGTCTGCAGCATTGCAAACGAAGACACGTGGTTTCGCACTTTGGCCATCAATATTGTTTCTGCAGGTAGGCGAGTTTTTACAAACAAGGTTACGGTTTGCTTACTTAATCAATTGCCTAGCTCTGGAGTCTGGAGTCATCAGTCATTCTCAGACGAATCTGAACCTTACGTTTCGATACTAACTTTGACTTTAGCAAAACACTTTAGGCAAATATATCAATTTTCTCACCAACAACTTGGAGATAGCCTTTTTTGCTGCGCATGGGGTCGGTGTTGACTTGGCACATATACCACCCTCGATCGGTTTCTTGGACCTTCTTGATGTGCAGGTACCACGAGCGATGGTCGTTGTACGAGAGGCTCACCCGGGGATTCTGCGTGATCACGTTATGGTGGATCGACAGGATTGTCTGCGTGTCCACTCGCACCCACGCCACCTAGAAAACCCAATAAATAGAGAAGATCATGAAAATTTAGAATTTTCGATAACAGTTCAGAGTTGGTTTCTCGCAGCCTCTGTGGATAAAGAAGCACTGTTTCCATGAGGATGCACAGGATTGGACGCGTTTTTTATGCAGGAACGCGTTCACTATACTAAAATTGTGTCTGATATTTAATTTCTCTCAGCCCCAGAGGCAGAAAGAGGAACATTATGAATAAATGAACTTTTCTAACACCAGGAAGATGTTTTCAAGTGTATAACCATTCCCTTCCATTGCAGAGATAAATTGCAAAATTTTTCTTCTCCCTCGGTTACAAATGACGCCAGTCAGTAGGTTACGTATATTTCACCATGTGAGCCTCGAAAGATTATTTTAGTAAAAATCCTTATTCTTAAATCCAGCTGTAATGAATTATGTGCATCGCCTATAATTATTTTGAGTCAACGCTCATTCTTAACCGCGCGCGGTAAGCCTTGACGCTCCTCAACATTATAAATTCATCTCAATTATATATGCGTTTATAGCACAAACAATGTTATCGATATTTTCAAAACACTCCAATTGAAATGATGCGAGTCGGGCAAATTTTTAATGGTAATTTGGCAATGCCTCATTCGATAATGCACTTTTACGAGAACGTAACTCAAGTGCACTTTTGTTCGGAGGCTCGAATATTTGCATGATTTTAAACACCCTCTGCTTGTTCTCGTCACACTCCCTTCTTCTATCGGTGAATAGATAATGCATCCCGCGACAGGAATCATGAGTAAGGAATGAGTGATTTTATTCTGTCATTGCGCTGGACAAGCTTGCCAAGTTTAGTGGTAAAAAGTTTGTTGGTGGTTCAAAACTTGAGAAAAAAATTATTTAAAAAAAGAATAAACAATTATTCAACGAAAAAAGTGCACCGGATAAAAAAGTACGGATTTTCTGTCGGTAATGCTACTTTAAATCGATTCTTTTCTTTTCATTTCATCTTTCCATTTTTAGTTATGTTCTTAATTTTAATCCATTTGGTTTTCCTTCACGTGTATGGGTCTAACAATCCCTTAGGACTAGTAGGGTCTTATGATAAAGTCTTTTTTAAATAAATTAATAATAATTGGTAAATAAATGTAGTGATTAAAAAAAATTTAAGGGTGGTCCTTTATTCTGTTAATTCTAAATTACCGCCAAAATCCTGTTTGACCGTGGTCATAACTCTCCAAACTAGCAATGTTTCAGAAATATGTTTGCACTATTGTGTAGGTTTGTCAACAACTGATTACAATTCCTTGCGTATTTCAAACTATTATTTTCATACCTTGAAACCTCTCAAATTTTCTACAACACAAACAAGAAGAGCGTCACGGCCTATTGTAACGGTCACGTTGGGTATAGGCTCCGCGAACCGAGGCATCAGGTCATCTGAAACATAAAAAAGTCACCAAATGTTATTTGCTACGGGAGATATTATTTGTTACTCAAAGTCAGTGAACCTTTCACGGCAAAATGTTGGACAAGACATTAGTTTGATAAAACGTAAGAAAATTTTGTTGGTGTCAATGAATCTTATAATTAAATTCAAGCGTGAGTCAAGAAATGCATCTGTCCTCTGAACCTCTTCATTAGTATTGAGGTTGTGCCGGGTTGATTAAATAATAAAAATTAGGAGTTGGAACAGTGCAAGTTCCTTTGAGTGCTTTTAAAGAGAGGTCCAGGAGATTAAAGTATTTGAATGGCTGAATCTTGTTTAATTGAGCTCTAAAAGGCTAAGGATTAAATTAATTACGCTTCAAAGAACACGAAACCTTCAGCTTTTAGCGTCTCAGTTTGAGTAAATTTTGTTTAATCCAGTCCCGCTCTTCTTTGTTTAGGGGCCATTCCAAAATTACGCAATGCTCCAAGGGGGGGGGGGTATTTGCCAGCGTTACGCGGCGTTACAGAGGGCCGGGGGGTATAGAGCAAAGCGTTACGTAACAAGTTTAAGCGTTTTTTAGTAGTTTCTGTAGGATTTTTGGTCGGTCGTCTTTAGAAGTTATGAAGAATCTCGAAAGTATTACTCTCACTTTTCCGTACTAAATAGAAACGTCAATACGCTCAGAAACTGTGAGGTGGTATTTAGATTATTTTGTTATCGAAATGGGAGGGGGGTCTGGACAAACGATACGTATTTTTCAGGGAGAGGGGTTCAGCGTTATGGAGTTTTACAGGGATGTGGAGGGGGGTGTCAAAAAACCGCAAATTTAGCAATACGTAATTTAGGGACGGCCCCTTTACCAACACAACATGAAAAAAGAATCAGACATCAGATTGAGATAGAGGGAAAAGTCAAGCGTCAACCCAGCCGAGGATAGGAGAGACGTATTCGGGCCGCGTTTCCTAACCTTTTCCCCGAATATGAGCTACACCTCATTCGCAACATAGATCGGAGCATCGCAACTTCACGCATGGCGCCTTCAATTTTGCAGAAGCAACATGGACATCCATCAAGTACGAATAGTTGTATCTCTGCGCCTTCATCAACGCGCGTTCTTTTCCTTGCTGTAGTTCTATATTGTTTTTGTTTCCGTTTATTTTATTTGTAGTGGTGCTTAAAGTGCCACGCACTCTGTGAGCAACACAGCCGATGACGGAAAGACGTGATCCAACCTCGTTTTTTAGGCCTCCGTGTCGCCCATATTTTATTACATCTTTTTACAAAAAAAGAACGAAAGTGTGATGATTTCTGACACACTTTCTTCATTCGCACGCTACTGCAACACTTCTGTGTTGCACTAGAGTACCTTTATAGACAGAGTATGGCCATTCGTATCTTTTTACTGCAGGAAAACTGTTCCGCTTTTTGATTGGTCGACGAGTTTTTAGGCTTCATGATGCTCTTAGGGCCGTAAATAAACAAACAAAATGGCGGCTCACCGTAACATCGATAAGAAGCTAAATTTGACAAAAATTTCAATTATGCGGCAGTAACAATTTAAACTAGCATGTCTACGAATAACACACGAAAAACACTTGAAAACATCGTTACATCGCCTTTCACCTTTATCACAGGAGGATGTAAGATGTGCATAACCTCAATCTTGCTTGCTGATAACAGCCATCTTGTTTGTTTATTTACGGCCCTAAGAACATCGTGTCAGCCTATTTTCACGCGACCAATGAAAAACCGGAACAGAAATGGCCATACTCTGTCTATAAAGGTACTCTATGTTGCACTCATCAATTTGCTTTTTGTTTTAAAGTGGGCGGCATACGTAAGACTAAGTTTCCTCGTAAGATACCGCAAGGCAAGCTCAGACCCCCTCGCCCTCCAAACGCCTTACGTAATGCTTAAACGATCCCAAAGCATTAATTTTTAAGAAGTGCGGTACAGGAATTTTGAAATCGTCGTTTCTCCGCACAGCACCTTGGTGATGCAGGATTTTCCCTTTGAGGACGCGGAAAATCGGGCTGCTTGGCTGGTTCCACCGTGCATAGGAGGAACGTCGCATGAGCCTTCAGACGTTGCCACGTATCCTTCAATAAAAAAACAAATTTACTGCGAAAATGGACTATTAGACAAGGTACGAATTAAAGGATTCTGATACATGTTTCTTAACCAAAATTTCACGTAGAACACGATTCGCGCTGCGAAAATTACTGAAACCAACTCCTAACGAAGATATTAACGTTTTTATTTCACATTGGTCACGAAGAATTTGAACTGCCCGCTGACAAGAAACTCAAAGCTCTACGTGAGTCATATCACGCACTACAACGGTTTCAGCAAGCTTCTCAATCGAGCTATGTTCATTTCCCACCACGTGTTGTTCAAACTATGAGCAATTTGCTGTAGCTGAGCCAAAGCGTCAAGACTGAGGTTGCCAGATTTTTATATCGCAGAGACTATCATGATAATGTTTAGCGCGCGATGTGAATTACGTAGAGCATTGAGTTTTCATGAGCGGGTGGTTTCAATTCACGCATCAAGAATCATTAAATATCTTCGTAAGGAGTTAATTTCGGTAATTTTCGTTGTGCGCATCGTGTTCTACGTGAAATTTTGGTTAGGTAACATGTATCAGAATGCTGAAATTCGTACCTTGTCTAGTGGTCCATTGCGAATATTTTTCCAAACGGTATCCCGGGATAAGCATGTCAAAATGCCCTTGTGAACGGATTTTTATTTTAACCATTTTAAGTCATCAAGGGTGTCCTAAAACTTAGGTTTTGGGGAATTTTAGCCCCCCAACCCCCTCCGCTCCCCCTCAGACCCCCAAAAACCGTTTTTTGGGGCTATTTTTGACTATGCTAACGTCTTTTCCTCATAGCTTTCGTAATTTTCGATAGAATTGAACCAAAATTTGTCAGAATCTACATCAATTAGTTTAGTTTTTGTAGAAAAAAATTCATTATCATCGGATAATATTTTAGCTTCNGGCCAAATTGCCCATTTTGGCTGATTTCGGCACCCATTATCACTCCGTGTCAAAAAATAAGAAGTGAGGGACATCCGATATTATTGTCCTACCTCATAAATTAGACACATAAGTACATTTAGTCGAAATTTCGTGTCGATCAGAGTGGTGCACAACACCCAAGCACGCAATTTTCTAACCCCAAAACGGCCAAATTGCCCATTTCGGCTGATTTCGGAACCCATTATCACTCCGTATCAAAAAATAAGAAGAGGGACATCCGATATTATTGTCCTACCTCATAAATAAGACACATAAGTACATTTAGTTGAAATTTTGTGTCGATCAGAGTGGTGCGCGACACCGGAACACGCCGTTTTCTAACCTGAAACCTCCCAAAATTCCCATTGTAGCATTCATTATCACTGTATGTCAGCGACGAGCCCGCTTGAAAAGTGCATGATGCACATTGCAAAGTTCATTTTGGCACCCTACCGCGTAGCAGACCCGATCACTCAGCGTAACCTCTGAACTCCCAAGAATTATATGACAGTAGGGAGTCTCGCTCATCCCCCACGTAGAAGCGTTCCCTCCTCCAAACTTCAATAATACGTATAGTAGTGCACTGAGTACTATGGCAAATTCACGTAACTAAATTAACAAGAAAACGGCGTGTTCGGGTGTTGCGCACCACTCTGATCGACACAAAATTTCAACTAAATGTACTTATGTGTCTAATTTATGAGGTAGGACAATAATATCGGATGTCCCTCACTTCTTATTTTTTGACACGGAGTGATAATGGGTGCCGAAATCAGCCAAAATGGGCAATTTGGCCGTTTTGGGGTTAGAAAATTGCGTGCTTGGGTGTTGCGCACCACTCTGATCGACACGAAATTTCGACTAAATGTACTCAAGTGTCTAATTAATGAGGTAGGACAAAAATATCGTATGTCCCTCTTCTTGTTTTTTGACACGGAGTGATAATGGGTGCCGAAATCAGCCGAAATGGGCAATTTGGCCGTGTTGAAGTTAGAAAATTGCGTGCTTGGGTGTTGCGCACCACTCTGATCGACACGAAATTTCGACTAAATGTACTTATGTGTCTAATTTATGAGGTAGGACAATAATATCGGATGTCCCTCACTTCTTATTTTTTGACACGGAGTGATAATGGGTGCCGAAATCAGCCAAAATGGGCAATTTGGCCATTTTGGGGTTAGAAAATTGCGTGCTTGGGTGTTGCGCACCACTCTGATCGACACGAAATTTCGACTAAATGTACTCAAGTGTCTAATTTATGAGGTAGGACAATAATATCGGATGTCCCTCACTTCTTATTTTTTGACACGGAGTGATAATGGGTGCCGAAATCAGCCGAAATGGGCAATTTGGCCGTGTTGAAGTTAGAAAATTGCGTGCTTGGGTGTTGCGCACCACTCTGATCAACTCGAAATTTTGGCTCAAGGTACTTAAGTGGATTACTTAAGAGGTGAGACGATAAAACCGGATGTTTCTCTCTACATATTTCTCCACGCCTAGTCATCAAAGGAGGCTATGGTGGCACTTTGGCCGTTTTGAGGTTAGTAAATTGCGTTTTTAAGTATGGCGCACCACTCCGATCAACACGAAATTTTTTCTGTATCTTATTGGATGTATAACTTAAGAAAAGAGGCAATTTTAGTTTGTGTCCTCGTTTCCATACGTCACCTAGCGCGAAAAAAGGCAAAAAATGATTTTTTTTTAAAATTTTACGAATTTTTTTAGAAGCTAAAATATTATCCGATGATAATGAATTTTTTTCTACAAAAACTAAACTAATTGATGTAGATTCTGACAAATTTTGGTTCAATTCTATCGAAAATTACGAAAGCTATGAGGAAAAGACGTTAGCATAGTCAAAAATAGCCCCAAAAAACGGTTTTTGGGGGTCTGAGGGGGAGCGGAGGGGGTTGGGGGGCTAAAATTCCCCAAAACCTAAGTTTTAGGACACCCTTGATGACTTAAAATGGTTAAAATAAAAATCCG